GGTTCAAGCATTATTGGCATTTTACTCTCCAATCAAACAGCAACAAAATTGTTTTATGGGAAAGGATTAATCTTAGAAATATTGTAATAATTCGGTTTTTCATTATTGTATTTTATGCATTTATGTTAGCTGTAGTGAGGGCCAGATTTAGACAATAAGAGCCAGCCCGAGGATATGTCATTTGTGAGGTGTCTTTTAAACTATGAAGTCATAAAAGTCTATTAGAATCCACTGTGATGCCATCATAAGCCATTCTGTGTGAAGTGTATATGCCGTCATACGTCAATTTTTGAATCGTGTAGAATACGACATTTTTGTTGCCGCAACAAAGTGCTCTAATCACCCAAGTAGATGGGATAGAAAGTTCATTTTAGAAATGCTCAAAAAACTTAGGCTGTGATAAATCGTTAGTTGTGAGAAGTATATGAGTGTGACGGGGAATGGCCCAATTGACAATTTAAAACAATAAAAGAATTATTGCTAAAGATTTGGTTTCTGGGAAACTAACTACTTATCCTTCTTCTATGCTTCTTTGCCGGTGGATCCGTATGCATATAATACAAGGATGCTGTAGCAAGTGTAAAGAGTGTAAGAGTCGAAACGTTACAGAAATATATTTGTGTTAGTGTGCAGCAAGACTCTTGAATCACTCAAAAAAATTATCGTTGCATGTTTTTAAATATTTGGGTCTACAATGAAAATTATCCGAGATAGTAAAAATATAATAATTTTTGAGATAAATTAGTTTAGTTATATATCGATACTTTCTTTTATCAAAGAAAAAGCATTATCAAGTCAAAACTATCTATTTAATTTAAATTACCATAGTATACTATATATTGTCTTCAAAATTAAAGGGTTAAAATATTAACCAATTCATTTTTCGATTCTAATTATTTTGAATAAAATTCAACACAAATTCAAATTTGAATGCTGAGGTTCGCCTTGAGCCCCCTAGGCTTAGCCTACCTTGCATAATTCTAAATCTGACCCTCGCTGTAGTATTCTGTTACTCGCTGACAATTAGAGTAATAAAAAGCCAATATCCCCAATCTTTTGATCTTGACCTTAGTTTGAGATATCAGAACCTTATATTATAAGTAATATTTAATTGAAGCTTTATAGAATTTCAATGAAAAAACTGTAGATTTTCGATTTATTAAATTCTCTCTGAGCAAGGCTCTTTCAAGCAGTCACCGTGATAAAAAAAATGCTTTACATAAAGAATATTCCTAATCAAGCTTTGCAAGTTTATTTAAAAGTATTTTAAATGACTTTCATGGAATTCTACTTGGTTAATTGAAGGTGTTGATCTTTTTGTTTGCTCTGAACAAGGCTCTGCTTAACTAGTCACTGATACACAAAGTCCGTCATATTCATAATGAAGATAATTATTAACAAAATAAAGGAATTGAATTTTTCAGAAAACAAACAAACAATTAGCTGTCATTGTAAATCAAATGAATACGTTTTAAAGATAAAACAAAGGAATAAATGATTTTCTATTTTTTTCAATTTTCCGGAATTAAATCAGGGGTGCAACCTTTTATACAGGAGGGTCATATACAACCAACTCGGCTTTCTAGTAGTTGCAGACACAAAATTTTTGGATATTGATTTCATTACATGCATATTTACTAAATTGGAATCAGGTATGGGCTTTGCAATGCAAATGGTTTAGAACAGGCCTGCACAACTCAAAATACCACGAGGGCCGCAAGCATAACTCTGAAGGTCCGACGGGCCGGAAACTTTTTTAATTTTGGTTACTCAGAGTAGGAAATCGCATGACACTTCCTAGCCATCGGAATTAGTGCTTGAAACGACTCCCGCTAAAACCTACTCTGGAGCCGGTGCAATCTTTCACACATTTGCCTCGGAGAGTAAATTTTTCCCTCCATTCTTGTGCTCCTTGTGACTCCTTCAGACAAAGTGCCAGTGCCGGGAATCGAACCCGAGTCTCATTGATGACAATTGTTACCACTAGACAACACAACTCGGCCGAAAAATTTGCCACATACAGATTTCACAAGATATTTTTAAACAAACCCTTTTGTGGAAAAGTCAAAGCGGCTGTTTTTAAAATACATTTATTAAGTAATTCTCCTTTAGGGAAACTTTTTACGGCTGTAGCAATTTCCTTGGATATTTCGAAACTAATCCTGGTAGAAGTAACACTCAGCTTTTTCGGAATGAAGAATCTTCATTAAACTCACAGCTTTCATTTTCTTCTTATTTTCATCTAATTTGGCGAGATTTTGGTAATTCATTTTAAAGTGTTGTCTTTAACAAAATCGCCCCCTTCCCCAAATATTGGTATGTCAATTTGTTGGATATTTCCATTGTAGGAAGGACAAACAATCCATTTAGTATCAGTATATCTTAATCGGTTGTACATTTTTTTATTGACACACCATTTATTATTGAATGATTTTTTTTGTTCTAAATTTGAATCAAAAAAACAATTATAGAAAGCCCAATAAAAATAATAAGTTATAAATTGAATACTAATATGAACTTATGGGGGCGTGATTGTATACTGACATTTTTTAAGCGCGATTCTGTCTGAATCCTGAAATTCTCCAAATCACCCGCGGGCCGCGGGCACAGAAACATCTAACAGGCCGCATGTGCAGGCCTGGTTTAGAATTACTCGCACAAATAGATGAAAACTAAATTTAAAACTCGTTTTGCGGACCACACAACATTCAGAATGCCACTTTTCCGCAGACCGCACAATTTTTCCTTGTCGTAACACTGCGTGCGCGCATCTATTACAGTCAATGATGTTCAATTCAAATTTAATATTCAAATATCGCTATTCGTTACCTTCTTGTATATGGCACACACATTCTAGCGCCGCTGTCCACATTTTGATTAAAACAATTTTCGATTATTATATTTTCTGTTTTATCGGAATGGAAGACAGCACTTTGCGGCACAACTAAATTACTGCCAACATAAAAGGAATTAAATCAGCGCGGACTTGAAGTACCAAACGTATCACATGAGGACATTTTTGATTGAAAATATTTTACAATCATTATTTTATATTAACGTAGTCGAGATATTCTGAGCGGCAATGGAAATAAATTTGGTTATTTTTCGCAAGTCTTCTCAAACTTGATTTGTGTAAGCTTCATATAGGGGCTGATATATTTTATAATGTATGCCAAAGTGTCTGCCGATTATTTAATTGACTTTGTATACCAGCTGTTATTTGTCCTAATCCTTTTAATAACAAAAACGTGGCCGGTGCAATGAAGCACTTCCTGCCGGATAACGGCACTTCAGAAAGAATAGGCTACCACGAAATAAAGTGATTGATTTATGACCCTTCCGTTTTGCTGATTCAGGAAAAAACGGAAAACACAGCTGTTGCCTAACCCATGAACGTACAGCACAGTATTTATCACACCATATTCATATGTTATTTCAACCTTTCAGTTACCGTAAATGGTTGTTCAAAATGATTATTGTTAAAATTATTATTGTGTCATTACTTCAACAGCGTGAGCGATGTCATGCATGATGTGCCGGTAAATATTTCAATTACAAGGGAGAGAGATAAAAGTGCTTATCAGCGCAACTAAAAAGGATAACATATCATAAATGTGATTAAAATTCGGGCGGCAGTATTTGCGTAACAGCGATTGCGCACAAATGATAACGTTTTGACCAGATCAATGCTGTTGCTCTCATGCAAAAGATTCAATCAAATTTAATTAAATACAAGCCGTCACGTTTATGATCAGACAATCACACCTGGACAAGCGATCGCGTGTGTGCGTGCACGCTCTTTATCGTGAGAACTAAGCATGGTTTGTAGCTGTTGCAATTACGGCAAGGCAGCATGATATCATTTCGTTGCATGATCAAAGTCTCGATGCGCGAAGGAGCCAATTTTTTGAACGATTCATTCAAACCTGCTCTCCTCATTTCATCTCGAACATCCCACTCTGATTATTTAACATTATAATAAGTGTAAAAGTAAATATAAAAGTTAACAATTTGAGCAAATTTTTATTAATATTAGGTTTTTCTGTTTAATGAGAGGTGCTTCAAATAAACACAATAATTTGATTCTAAAATATGCCAAATAGTGTATAGTATTTTCCTTTTATAATTATTTCTGTTTGATATAACTTAAACTTAATATGATGAAACAATATACAGTTTAATTTTTAATATTAAATCCTACATGATGTGTTTCCACAACTTTACTTTTTATAAGGCTAAAGGCTGGCAGAAACTGATATTTAGTGAGCTACTACTATATATTAGAATTTAGCTATATAACTCAAATATATATTATATATTAGTTTGTTTGAACTATGGCTCAAACAAAATTGTTTTGTGTTAAATATAATTTGGGTAAGAATTATTGCATACATAGATATGCGAAACATCATACAGAATAAATTTATATATTAAGTTCCCTAGGATGTGTTTTCGTGTCTCTAGTTTGAACAAGATAACAGGCAAGTGGCAACTGTGATTTAGTGAGGTTGTACTGTATATAGAACAATTGTTCTCAACCATTTATGGCTTGTGGATGTGGCCCTTTCCGGAAACTGTTAGCACTCATGAAGCTATCAATTTTACGCTCAGTATTGTGACCCACGAAGTTCAAACCCTAAAACATTTAGACAGTGGAATGGTCATAATACTAATTTTAGTTAGTGAACTTTTTAATTTTAGCAATTTTAGGATTTCAAAAACTAAAAACTATCTTTTAAATTTATCTTTGTTTCCAATATATGTGAAAATCTGACAGCCCGTTTCCCAGTGCCTTTCCCACCTGCGATGCCAATGCATGATCTGTTGCTAAGTTAGCTAGTTCAATTCAATTTTGAAATATTTTATCTTTCTTTGTCCAAGATTTAAAGTTTTGGGCAGCGTCTTTTTAATTTTTTTCGATAGATTTTCCTATTTTGCCCAAGGAGATTATTTTGCAACATTCTTATTATGATCTAACATTATTTTATGTTTCATTATAGATCAAACAGTTGTCGCTGTATGGAAACGCAAACATGGGAGTTGATGGTTTGTCATCAGTTGGACAAATACTTTCCAATCAATCCTGTGTTGAAAAGTTGAGCTTTGGTGTATGTTATCTGTCACCAGATCAACTACGAGCCTTCAAATTATCGTTGGGAAATAACACAGAGGTGTGGCACATTGATTAACCTATAATAACATTTGCTTGAGCTCCATTATATAGCAATATCTGTAATGTATTGTTACTTGTATTTCGTTGAGTCAACTATCATGGAAAGTTAAATAAAATGAAGGATTCTTAACTGACTTAGAAATAAATTCATTGTTTCCCTGATTGGGCAATTTTGGTAAAAAGGGAAGGAGCATCTAACTACCGGGGCATAATTAGGTTAACAATATTGTTTTTGTGGAAAAGGATTAATCTTAGAAATATTGTAATAGTTGGGTTTTCTGTTATTGTATTTTATACATTTATGCTAGCTGTAGTCAGGGCGGGATTTAGACCATGAGAGCCAGCCCTAGGCTATGCCATTTGTGAAGTGCCTTTTAAAATATGAAGTCATAATAGTTCCTTACAATCCACTGTGATGTTATCATAAGCCAAACTTAGGATTCGATAAAACGTTATTGCACCAGGAAACCAGTTTCTAGTCATGAGAATTATATGTGTGCTAAGGGGAATGGCCCAATTGCTGATTCAAAACATTAACAAAATTATCTTTGCATTTTTGAAATATTTGGATCTACAATAAAAAAGCTTAGTATTAATATAATCATTTTTAGATAAATTAAATTAGCTATATGTATATCAAATAAAAAAAATTTATACTAAAAAAGTAGCATTATTGAGTAATAACTATATTAGTACTGTATACTATATATCAGGGGTCACCAACCCGTTGCCCGCGGGACCATATGAGTCGCCTGCTGGTCAGTTTTAAAATAACTGAAATAAAGGCGCTTATCAGTAAGCTACATCTATTAATTTTATTCTTTCTATTCTTGTTTAAACTTTATATGAAAAATGGATATGACAATATATTAATTGTTGGAACGGTCAGCCTCTTCTATAGGTGACATCGGTAATGTCACATGTCATCCCAATTATGACATGACACACACTAGGTCAGCTGGCGCCATGCATGTCGTTCATTTCTAACCTTTTTTTATTGGAACTTGGACATGTCAAGCATTGTTGAGCAACGTTCAGCCTTGATGTGGGACAGATAGAGCTTAAATTTTTAACACTGCTCCCCCCCCCCCCCCTTTGTTTACCATCCCAATGGTATTTATAGTGGTATTTTGATTGGTAGATTTTGAATCCCATTATGTTCAAATAATTCATGCTCAACAAAGAGTGAAACCACCCTGTGAAATGAGCTTTTCAATCTATGAAACTAAAAAATCAGTAGGTTTTTATTGTAAATTGATTAGTAATATCAAATTCCTGCTTAGTATTGTGGCCCTCAAATTCAAACCCTAAAACATTTAGACCGTGGAATGGTCATAACACTAATTTTAGTTAGTGAACTTTTTAATTTTAGCAATTTTAGAATTTCAAAAACTAAAAACTATCATTTTAAATTCATCTTTGTTTCCAATACATGTGAAAATCTGACAGCCCGTTTCTCAGTGCTGTTCCCACCTGCGATGCCAATGCATGATCTGTTGCTAAGTTAGCTATTTCAATTCAATTTTGAAATATTTTATCTTTCTTTGTCCAAGATTTAAAGTTTTAAGCAGCGTCTTTTTGATTTTTTCGATAGATTTCCCTATTTTGCCCAAGGAGATATTTTGCAACAATCCTATTATGATCTAACATTATTTTATGTTTCATTATAGATCAAACAGTTGTCGCTGTATGGAAACGCAAACATGGGAGTTGATGGTTTGTCATCAGTTGGACAAATACTTTCCAATCAATCCTGTGTTAAAAAGTTGAAATTTGGCCTATGTTACCTGTCACCAGATCAACTACGAGCCTTCAAATTATCGTTGGGAAATAACACAGAGGTGTGGCACATTGATTAACCTATAATAACATTTGCTTGAGCTCCATTATACAGCACTATCTGTAATGTATTGTTACTTGTATTTCGTTGAGTAAACTATCATGGAAAGTTAAATAAAATGAAGGATTCTTAACTGACTTAGAGATAAATTCATTGTTTTCCTGATTGGGCAATTTGGTAAAAAGGGAAGGAACATCAACTACCGGGGCATAATTAGGTTAACAATATTGTTTTTGTGGAAAAGGATTAATTTTAGAAATATTGTAATAATTGGGTTTTCTGTTATTGTATTTTATAAATTTATGCTAGCTGTAGTCAGGGCGGGATTTAGACCATGAGAGCCAGCCCTAGGCTATGCCATTTGGGACGTGCCTTTTAAAATATGAAGTCATAAAAGTTCCTTACAATCCACTGGGATGTTATCATAAGCTTAGGATTCGATAAAACGTTATTGCACCAGAAAACCGGTTTCTAGTCATGAGAATTATATGTGTGCTAAGGGGAATGGCCCAATTGCTGATTCAAAACAATAACAAAATTATCATTGCATTTTTGAAATATTTGGATCTACAATAAAAAAGCTTAAAATTAATATAATCATTTTTTAGTAAGTAAAGCTATATGTATATGTATATTAAAGTAAATTAGCTATATGTATATCAAATAAAAAAAATTTTATGCTAAAAAAGTAGCATTATTGAGTAATAACTATTTCATTAATTTAAATTAGTAAGGTATACTATATATCAGGGGTCACCAACCCGTTGCCCGCGGGACCATATGAGTCCCCTGCTGGTCAGTTTCAAAATAACTGAAATAACGGCGCTTAGACGTGCCTTTTAAAATATGAAGTCATAAAAGTTCCTTACAATCCACTGGGATGTTATCATAAGCTTAGGATTCGATAAAACGTTATTGCACCAGAAAACCGGTTTCTAGTCATGAGAATTATATGTGTGCTAAGGGGAATGGCCCAATTGCTGATTCAAAACAATAACAAAATTATCATTGCATTTTTGAAATATTTGGATCTACAATAAAAAAGGTTAAAATTAATATAATCATTTTTTAGTAAGTAAAGCTATATGTATATGTATATTAAAGTAAATTAGCTATATGTATATCAAATAAAAAAAATTTTATGCTAAAAAAGTAGCATTATTGAGTAATAACTATTTCATTAATTTAAATTAGTAAGGTATACTATATATCAGGGGTCACCAACCCGTTGCCCGCGGGACCATATGAGTCCCCTGCTGGTCAGTTTCAAAATAACTGAAATAACGGCGCTTATCAGTAAGCTACATCTATTGATTTTATTCTTGCTATTCTTGTTTAAACTTTATATGAAAAATGGAAATGACAATATATTAATTGTTGGAACGGTCAGCCGTTTCTATAGGTGACATCGGTAATGTCACATGTCATTTCAATTATGACATCACACACACTAGGTCAGCTGGCGCCATGCGTGTCGTTCATTTCTAACCTTTTTTTTAATGGAACTTGGACATGTCAAGCATTGTTGAGCAACGTTCAGTCTTGATGTGTGGACAGGAACTTAAATTTGTAACACATTTATTGTCTTTAAAATTGAAGGGATAGAACTTTGAGTTAATGAACTTTTGTTCAAATTTATTTGCCGAGGTTTGGCTTGAGGCCTGGGTTTAGCCTACCTTGCATAATGGTAAATCTGGCGGTTGCTGTAGTATTCTGTCACTTACTGAGTTTGCAAGTTTATTTAAAAATATTTTAAACAAAGCTTTCTAGAATTAATGGGTTAACTGAATTAATAATAAATTAATATATTTAGGAAATAAATATATAATATATTTAACAGTTAACACAATTAATATATTTAACAGTTAGTTACAATAAAGAAAATATCTTGCACAAACAATGATTGAATTACCAAATTCTGAATACAATTTAGGTTTGAAAATTTTCCATTTTTTGACAATTCTGTATTTGTCCTATAAAACAGCTGAAAGAATCATTCAAACCTGCGCTTCTGATTATAAAATAAAAATATTCCTCTCTTGTCATTTAACAATACAATAGGTGCAAAAGTAAATATAGTAGTTGACTATTTGAGCAAATTACTGTATAAATTATAAATTAGATTATATCAGAATTTTCCAGTTTGGAATTTCCTACTGAATTTATTACACACTCATTTATTTACGAGGACATAGGATTTAAACTTGAAATCTTTGGACTGTGGCACAAACATACTTGATATATTTTGAACATAACTTGGTGACGACTTAATGACACGTATTACATGAAAACTTAATGCAGTTTTATATATCAAAGTCTTCAAGATGTGTTTTCATGTCTTTAAATAGTAATTTCTTCATATTGTGCTTTCTTACCTCTACTTTGAACAAAGCTTTATGCAAGTGGCAACTCATATATGTTGAAATGGTACTATATAACACGAACGAAGTTATGGTTGAATTATGTATTTCTGCAGAAGTCTGACCTTGGTCCAATGAAACATAACAGAAATATATTTGTGTGTCACAAAACTTTTGAATCCCTAATTATTTAAATGTGTATAAAGATAAACATACACATAACCCTGGAATTTATTCAATAGCGTTTCACTATGAACGTCTCACTATTTTTAATTCTTTAGAAGCCAATGCCGGCATGAATTGCACTTTTGGCACACTATTTTAATTTCCCGTACTCCTCACCCCTTAAAAAGCCTGGCTGCGCCCCCTGAGTCTAATCGAGTGTTGAGGGTTCAAAACTCCAAAAGAAAAACGCTGCGCATGATGAATATGCTTGATCAATTGACATGGCTTGCAGCATTTCAATTTCATCCAATTGTGATTTTGGAGAGTTGAAAAATCGAAAAAATATTCTGAAATATAAACCATAGTAGGTGCTTTCAATTCCTCTCAATAGTGATTTTATATCTATGTATATTGTATTATATATACAATAACGTAGAATCTCCCAGATTTTAGAACTTAAAAATTGAGCAAAGGCAACAGGTTAAAAAAATTTTGATTTTTGAAATTCATACCCACAAGTTTGAGTGGATTTGGTTTTCTGAAAATCTGTGTTGAAATATCTATATTTTTATAGCTTGAATCTAGTCTGGTGTTATGAGACTTGACTCAAGTCGAGTTCAAAATTAATTCTAGTTTTAAATCTATAAGCAATTTTTGGATGAAGTATTTATTGTCACTCATATCTTATAGTGATAATTTATAGTGAGCTTATAGTGATAATAACTTGAAATAAGCCCTGTTATTATCAAAGTAAATATATATTAAAATATGTTGTTCAAGAAAATTCAATTTACATTTTATCCTTATCACGTCATAATTGCTCAAGTGTCCATTGTTGTGAAGTCAGAAAGTCTGTGTGTTTCGGAAAAGTTTGTGTAGTTTGTTTTGTTTTTAAGTTCAATAGATAGGTATGTGAAATATTACTTGCATATTTGACATCAAAATTTAGAGTATCCGGGAAAAACTTTTTTTCAGTTAAAAACCTTTATAATTCTATTTTTGATTCACAAATGAACCAATCCTAAATTTCCTTACAGATCGAGGAGTTCTGGCTGCATGGCAACACAAACATGGGTGTTTTATTATTAGATTTCAGGCCAACTTGTTTGTATAGAAATTTGTTTGAAATATTCAATGATCAAACTTGGGTCCTATGAACAATTTGGTTATTTATTTCGGTTAAACTTCCAAGCTCATTTTGATTGGAATTATAAAACAAATAAGCAAAGTATTCTTTTTTTCTTGAGCATTCAATAAATATATTTTTCAGCAACCTTTTTTATTCGACACTTATTCACACCTTTTACTCTGAGCAAGGCACGTATAAGCATCCACTGATATCTGTAAGGGTTACTATTTTTTAAAATCCTGAAATTTTTTTCTCCGGCTTTACCCACTCAATTTATTACACATTGAATCCGAGGTGTGTACCTTGTGATGCAAACATATTCAAGTCTAATGCTTAACTGCTATGTTATCACACTCATGCATGCAAACCTAAGATTCTCGTGTTGTCCTATCATCCTAAAAAGTTGCTTTTTGGTAAAAGTGTTCATGAGTAAGAACAAGAAAATCAAATCGAAATTATGGAACAGATTTCAAAAAAGAAATAATGAGAAATAATAACAAATCGGGAATTCTATTTATTTCGAATAATACAAATTTCATATCTTCACGACCGCATTTAATTTAATATGGAATTTTTTATCTGTGTGCACTCGTGGGATGGCATATTGCAATTTTTCACCCATGATAGCATCACAAATGCTGGTGCACCCAGAGTTTGAAACCGACATTTGAAATTCTTGGTAGGACTGAAAAGTCACTACCGTATATTCTCGCATAATATACAGATTTCACAGGGCTAATTTTGTTAAATTGCTAATTGTTTCGTTATTGTTTCATGGTTATTCAAACACCGATATTATGTTGGTAAACTGTATTTTTACCAATTTTCTTCATCTCACATGTATTCAAGTGCGTTCAGGCTCCTAATATAATTAAAAGAGGTAATCTGCAACTCGAATTTTTGATTGAAAATATCGGAGTATTAAGACCAACGGCTATTCTAGGCATTGTGCTTTGATCAAATAGCATTGCTCCAATTTCACTGTTAGGAATGATGAATATAATTCCAGCTTGATTATTAGCTTATTTACCCAAAGATCAGACAATCTCTCATCTCGTCATCACTCATTGTGTGAGCATTTCAATGTTTCGTTCATTAAACTCGTTTTTGAGATTCTTTTTTTTGCTTAAATTTAAGGTTTACAAATTTTTCAAGATAGAATAAAGGTATGGTCTTTATCTAAGTAAATTGCCTCCATTCAATTTCTATGAAAAAAAATTATTTTGAAAATTCACCTTTAATTTTTTGAACAGAATTTGAACTCCCAACAGATTTTGAACTCCCTGACAACACGCTCTATTTTAATATTACATGAATATTGATCAATATTAGGTAAATATAAATAATGTATGTATGTATTTTATTCAAGCTCGATTCTCTCTGTCAGATGATTCTATCTGTTTATTTCAACAGATTGAAGATTTGGATCTGAATGAAGAGCGTATTGCAAACCATGACGATATTGTTTCATTTGCAAATCTGCTTCCTAATGTTACAGAGAAGTTGTGGTTGTTTGGATGGAACATTGCAGATGAAGATGAAAAAATATTACAGAATCAATTGGATGAAATTGGATCTGAGGTCTGAAAAACAGATTATAGAACATAAGTCAATTAAAATAATATAACAAAGAAAGATTAAATTGTTAAGGTAATAACAAAATATTATCATGGTCAATTTGATTGTGTTGCGCATCATGTTTAATATTCACTTATTGGAATAAGGGGCGCTTCGGAAGTACTTGTACCAAGATGATGCACAACCTGAACAACCCTGACCTGGTACACATAATATTTTCAGGTTGTGCTGAATCTTGGTACGAATCTCCAGGAGCACCCAGTAAGGTTTATTTATTTTCCAATAAATAGAACAATATAAAGCAATGTGAATTTTTTAATCCCCAAATTGTATGTTTAATTTTAATTACAAAAATTTTAGCATATCAAATTAAGTTATCACCAAGATTTATTCGTGTTTCTGTTTCGCCAAGCAAAGATCTAAAATTATGGAGTGAATTGGATTTGCTAGTATTTCACAATAATTATTTTTATGGAATGCGATCAATCAAGTGTGGACTGTCAGTTTAGTGAGTTGTCAAAGATGGCATTATGTACGCAAGTTTGGTTTTTCAATTAATTGAAAACTTTTTAGATTAGGCATCTGTATTATTTAGCAAGTATTTGTGGTTTCAATGTTAACATCGCATTGACTACTAACATGGTAATTAATAGATACCATTCCGGCTGCCATTTATTATCATGACCATTTTGTGATGAATTCATATAAAACAGTTTATTCATTACAGAAACTAGAAATTTTGTTGCGTGGAATGACACTCATAAGTCAAAGAAAACCTGCAGATAAAGCAACTAATGTAACTCTCAAACAAAATCCAACTTTGTCTTCAGAATCAGAATTTGGTAAATCTTAGATATTTTTCAAATAGAATTATACAATGATAAATGAGTAACAATCAATGTTGCATTAGTTCTGTCTGATTCCTTATATAATTCTTATTTATTATTTTTATTCTCATTTTCAATCTCAAGAATGACTGGAATTTATAGTTTATAAAATTTGCTGTTTAGCTGCTGGAGTTGGCACATCTTGCAGCACATTAGACCATAAGATTTTTTTAACAGTTTTTGTATTTAAACTGTATTGTAGTGAATTAAAATAACTATTTATTCAAAAAATGATTTTTTACTTTGCTGGGATATCAGAAATTGTACTAAATCTAGAGTATTTAAAAATATTGAAGTATGTAAATATAATTGTTTCCAGGCTATTCATTTACTATTTGTTTGACGATATTAAATAACTTAAAACAGTTATTAGTGTCCTAAATAATTGCATTTTAATAGTTATATATATTCATTTCTAAGGGACCACATCACGACTCAGCAATTCAGAGAGTACTGAAGAAAATGTGGAGATTTCAAAAGAAGCTAAAAGCCCAAGGTTAGATAAAACAGTAGTGTGACTTTCAAACATGACTTACATTTGAAATTTATAAGTGGGCAAGGCATAATGGCCTACTGATTAAAGCATTAGGGGACTAAATCCCATGCCGACCAGCTGCATGTGTGTAATGTATTGGGTAGGCTTGCACGTAATTGACAAAAATCAATTCCGTAATTACGGCCAAATCGATTACGTAATGACCCTGTAATTGCGATATTTTTTTCACACTTTTAAACCTATCATAACAACTAATTTAATCCACTTCTATTCCGAATGGGACATCGACAGTTGGGACAGTTTGGTTTTCATATTTCCGCCAGTACTACACGCCGGCGACAGATGCTAAAGACAAATATCAAGGAGTGAATTCAAATTAATTTTATTCTGATATGCATCTTTTGTGTTAGCTTTGATTTTCCTTTATCAACTTTATCACCCAATTTTATGCGATCAATTTTATCATTACCAACACTGGTAAGTGGTAATATATTTATGAAACGATAGTTGACTTTTTTAAAATCGTATTAACGTATTAATACGAGTTTCGTATTAAATAAAAATTCTGGGTTTCTAATTTATAAATCAACGACGAGCGTATTCTCTCGTTTGATTGTACTTGCGCTTGCCTCGCGACGAAGACTTCTTATTGTACCGTTTTTTTACATTATCCGACTTTACTACCTAGTTAGCATTTTATAGTAATTTTTGATGCCGACTTATTGACGATATTCCGATTACCATGCTTCATTTTACATTAAATCATTTCGCGGCCTAAATGTTATAACATTATTTGCGATAAATTTAGATCAAATATTAATTATTTGCGCATAATTTAAATACCGTACTTATATGACATGCCTTCTCCGAAAATACAAAGTTATATCGCAAAACAATGCATTTGGTGACATTTATTTTGCACTCACGAAAATATTAATTTACTTTTCTAACTCAAGTCGACAATCCTATCGGCTAAGATTGACACAAGTTTGGTCGAGTGCCGGTGGTATTTGAGTCGACGATAAATCAAAATAAGTTGCCGCATTTGGTAAAGACTTAAAGATATTGTAAAGACATATTTGGCCGAAATAGTGCGAGGCATTGTGAAAACAAGGCCAAGTCCGGACAGATATATAACGATAAAACCGGTAACAGAACATCAAGATTTTGTAATAGAAAATGGATCTCGCGCAGAATAAACATGGGAAATCCCGTCTTTTTGTTGTTTCTTTGCCGTCTGAATCGCTTTACCGATGCCGAAAAGACTTAGTTGCGTTGGTTCATTACGCAATTTCTCTTCCGTCGTCATATTGCTGTTTGATAAGCGCGACGTTAATTATCACGGCATTTACAAATAGACCATGTTTGGTAAGTTGATCTCTTAACATTCTTTAGTCATTTCACCCGAAAAAGTTGAAACCAGGTGTGTTGGCGTCCATCGGTCTCAACACAATTCTATCCCATATCTACGCTTAATATGTACATTTGCCATGCTAGATAAGTTGATAATAGGTTAGTAAATGGCAACGCGTTGTCGCGTTATGCCTTCTCCATCTGCGTACAAGAGAGAGAAAAACGGCTGCGAATACCTTCTACTTATTAAACTTTAATTTTTTACAATCGACGGAATTGACTGCTCTAAAGAGAGATCGTTTCAATCGCGAAAGCGCTCCACCAATAATTACGAATTTACGTAATTCGGAACTTCGCTTCCGTAACTAGAAATAATTCCGTAAATCCGTAAATCCGTAAATTACGTGCAAGCCTAGTATTGGGCAGTAGCAATGTTGAATCAGAAAGATTATTTTCCATGATTAGCCCACACACAGCAGTGGCCTGCTTTAACATGGCTGTGTAGTGTATGGCTGTGTAGTGGGTGGTCCAAACTGCGTCCCGCTGACACATTCCGTGCGGCCCGCGGAACATTTTTAGCGTACACTACTAAACCATTGGCAGATATTTGTATTTATTAGCAAAACATTTTTGATTTATTTTTAAACTATTCCAAGTGAGAATAGTCCGTTTCCTAATCCCCATTTCGGGATTGATGCTTGTTAAAATCTTGTCTTGAGATCGCCCTCGACCGCTACCTCTCATCTGAAACGAAACGATGATTAAAGCCTTTTAGCTCTGACGGCACGAATGCTCTCGTGATTTTGCACGCCATTAATACGTTATTACTACATAACATTTATATGTTGAAACTTTGCCTGAGGTCCAAAATGGATGTAGTGCCATATTAAATACTTTAAATACTCTAAAATACTTTATTTTTGTCAAAACACTTCTCTATTTGCAAGTGTTGGTTATGTGTCAGCAGTGACAAACCGCTGAGCTGACTTAGCGCCTGCGATCCAGTTTAATTTTATCTGGATCTGAGGTCCCAACTTTGACCCATTTCGTTGTTTTTGATGGTAGCACTAGGCCTGCTCACTCTACAGGTAATAAATTTTTTCAAATATCAATTCATCACACAATGAGTGTAAAAAAAAGGTGACCAAAGTAAACCGAGAAATAACATATTTCCCTACCCACAACAACGTTAAACCACAGTATCTAGTGTGTTTTCAAGTAATATCCGTCACGAAAGAATATAATTTCAAGCGACATTACAAAATTAAACACGAGAAAAGATACCGAAAATACCATGATATTTCTCTGAAAGTAATTATGAAATAACTAAAGGCTTTATATAGTTTCCCTGAAAAAACTGATTAGAACGCTGAACTCTCATTCTTAAATATATTTAAAGTGAGTAAAATCGCAATATTTTGATCACTTTGGGGTTTTCTATGACTGCGGCCCGCGAGACCTCCTCAAAAGTTTTTGCGGCCCTTCAACCTCGCAACCTTGGACCACCCTGATCTATATGCATCGGGCACCAGATAATTCCCTATAATTTTTAATCTATTTATTCGTTTTGTATGTCTCTGTTTTCGTCCCCCAAACGTTTCATTCAAAATCCTTTCTTGCGGCAGATCATGTTGTTTTGTTTGCGTTGGAAATTTCAATTTCGCCTCGAATTCCATTAAATACAATAGGAAAATACTCCATCCGAATAATGAATTAACGAAATTTTTTATCTCCGTGTTTGAGTCTTTAACGCTTTGTGAACTGTTAATAAACTTATATCGGCACTCGGATCTGTGTGGGCCGAAACGTCTGGTTCGAAACGTACTTGATCATGACAATAGTAAATGAAACACTATACTCCACCTTGCTAATGACACAAAATCAATTTTATTTGACGCATGTGATACCGTATTGACAAAATGCTGTAAAAATAGTTCTACTCTATTGACTGAACAGAGCAATTTGCGATAATCAGCTTCTCGTGGACTTTATAATAAGTCCCATTTGGCTCTTATCCTTTTCGAAAACGTATGCCCAAACATTTATTTCAGTCTTTTCCAGCAGATATGATTTATTAAAATCTTGTATGAAATATTAATTATCCGTTCCAAATGCCCCAATAAACAAATTTATTTTGGTCACTTTCTAGTAGAGATTCTGTGTTGGTTCCTATTATCCATTGGTATTCAATTCTCTTCATAATTTCAGTCTTAGTTTTTGCTCTGTATATAATTGTCAGAAGCTTCAACGAAATTATACCAGCAGAGCACAATTATTTGAATTTGATTTAATAAATAAATTTATTGAAATTAAACAAATAGCAAAACCAACTTTATATAAATATAATGATGACAAAAAAGAAAGAATAATTTCACACTGTTATTTTGTTTTAGAAGTGAACTCCTGATGACTGAAAAAGAAGCAGAACAATCAGATAAAGAAGTAACTGAGCAAGCTGCAAAGCTAACCCAGCCTAGTAAGTCAGTCGTATTGATATAATCGGGCAGTATTATAGGTCCTCTTGTGATATGTGTACCATGTTAAAGTTAGGCCATAATTTTATTCCGATTTGAATTTCACATTTCAACTCAATAATCATACTCATGTTCAATGGAAATACACAATTTCTTAGTATGAAGAATTGAAATATTCAACGAATAACTTTGACCAAGTCACACAAAATTTTGGTGGGTCTTGACTGCAACTATGTATCGTTCATATACTTTTGCTGTTGTGGATCTGTTTGCAAATAATGCAAGCAATAAGGCAAATTGCATGTTTTTTTCTCTAATCATGTTTTTCTCTCTGCCTGTAAAAAGTACAAGGGCCACTAGGTTACACTAGTCAATGAATCTTCCATAGTTTAATAACAAATAATTAATCTGGTGAAACATACCGTTTTCAAGTCTGGGCAAAGGATGGTTGGGGTAACATTGGAGTCAGAAAATGTTATAAATGGTATATTTCCAGGCTTATTTAGATTTAATTTTTTGTCGCGGACTTCTGTGAATAACACACATATACATAAGAGCAATTACTGGCAGTCAGAATCATATTGTAGCGGTGAGAGATTGCCCAACTTTTTGTAATTGTAATAATTTACCCCAGATTTTGTCATGGATTGATTATACCTTGATAAACTACAACATGACATTGAAATATAAGCAAAGCCACTAATTATTACTGTATGTGCTGTATTTCTTACATATTGACGTTTGGGATTTTCAGCAATTGCTCAATAGAAACGGTCACACACCCCTTGAAGGTTGATCTCTGGTTTGATGAATAGAATTTCATGATGTGATTTGCTTATTTCCTTTAAACAACAAAACAGCTACCCTATTTCCTGCTTAATAAGTCTACCTAGCAAATGAGTCGATGATTTTTAACACCCAAAAAGAGGGTGTTTACATATAGCCCTGCAATAAGAAGGGTAGCAAAATTGCTTCTTTGTTGGTCATTTTAGCATTAAAATCATGGCGCGCTCAGGTCATGTTTGTATTCTTAACAATATAGTGGCAATTTTAGCATTAAAAAGGCATAGGTGGTCATTTTGAACAGTCAGCCAGCTTTATTCAACATTATGGTGAGCCAAGGGTTCAACTTTGGGGCTATAGTCATTGGAAGCTTAAGAGCTACGAAATATTAGTGAGCTCGATAACGGAAAATGTTTTGTAAAATAAAATATTATTTTGATTAGGATACAAACTTTTGCATATAATCTCTATTTATTTCTTTCACTCCAAACAAGGGACAAGCAGTCACTAATATCTAACAATATGTAAAAGCAAATATATTTGGGAAACCACAATTTTGCTGGTCAGCCTAAAAAATTTTATCAATTTCGAGGTGATGATGGGATTTGTACCAGAGATATGTATTTTTATCCGATAGGCCATTGCGATGCCCAAATGTTTTATTTGCAAAACTATTACAGACTTAAATTTCTTCCAATTTGCCTATGTTGAATATAAACCACTACTGCAAAACAGGCAATATAAATGTTTTATGCTATCTTTGAGAGGAAATGTAACATTTAACAGTTAAAGTGTTCATTTTAATGGCGCTTCAGAAGTATGTGTATCATATGGAGGTAACTAATTTTGTTCGCCTATTTTACATCAAGTTGTATGAAGGGACCTAAAGGGACTCGAAATAGAACTAAAGTAAGGAAAATCGGAATAAATTTATGGCCTAGCCCATAATATAAGTGCCCGTAATATAAGTTCTGGATGTAAGAAACATGTTACGTGTGTCAATGTCGACCATATCTCCAATATGGGAACAGTTAATAGCCAGCAAGGAAATACAGATATCGCATTAAATAGCATCACTGTCGTTTTTAGTATATTGTCAACATAAATTTCCTAAAGAGTGTAATTTATTGCATAGGCTTAGTCCGTTTGTTTGAAGGGCTCCGCCAAAATTTTGGTCAGGCTTTACCGGTCAGTCACTTGAAAAAAGTTGCCGACCACTGGTATAGTCTATGTTTGAATAGGTTATTGAAGTTTATAATTATAAAAAAAATTGTAGACCGAAAGTCAATTGTTAGTGGCATAACATGGAATATAAAATATAGTGATGTTTATTTAGAACAGAAGTAAATTAATATGAATTTAAAAAATAAGAGGAATATAGAACTTTATTTTATCCTTAATATAAATTGATTTTCCTATGCAAAGTGATATTTCAATATTTTATTTTTCATTTTAAAGGCGAAACTTCATCTAGAACTACTGATGGGAAGAGGGGAAGAACTTCAGATGGAGATTCTGGTCCAAGGTCAGATAAAATAAGTACATGACCAAAAAATAATGATCTTGAAAATATTTGTTTTCATATTTGAGTCTTCAATATGATTGCTGTATCCTTACCATCAATACCCTTTGTTTGCCTGACTGAATTTATCCACGGAACAAGTTTCACAGCAACAGATCATAGATTTGTTCATAGCTTGTTAAGACCAATGTCCAAGTCTAAATGAACATTCATCATGGTTAAAATAAAATATCCATATGAAAATCTTATTGTTATTAGATTTCCGACCGGAAAAGCCAAAAGCAGTTGTACAAGTTGCATCTCAAAAACAATTTTGCTCATAATTTTCATGTCACTCTAATTTAAATGATATTAAGGATCTAATTTTCAGCACATACAAAGACATTAAAAATCCGAGATTATTGCACTAAAATTATACCCTGAACCTCATTATGGCTGAAAAAAGTATCTTGTTCTTGAGGAACTGCTCGGTTAATCTACCAATAAACTCCTCCTAGTGGATTTCAATATCATAGCATGATGGACAAATCTCGCTTCTCAAACACTGTTTGCGGATTTTAAGTGATAAACGTGACAATCTTTGTCAGCTAAAAAAAGTCCAGCCAAGAAAATTTCTTATGAAATTCTTATGAACATAAACTTTGTTTTCAGAAGCCAAATCCCTACAACTGAAGTTGAAGAAATTCAACAAGAGGATGAACTAAGTCTATATGGTAAGTCTGCCACATGTTAATAGTCTCACAACATTTTGAGTAGTGTGGCTCATGCAATATGTTTTTAGTTTTAATGTATCTTGGTGATATATATTACAATTTTTTCAGTATAAATTAAAGTAAATTGGCGTTTTGCATCACGATTGGAGGTAATTTTTAAAACATGTAAAACTTGTATTATTTTGTTAGAGTGTAACTAATGGAATATGTATCTAATTATGCACAGAAAATTGAATAATCTAGAACAGTGGATTTCAACCTTTTTTAGCTGACATACCTATCAAATTTCAAAAATAGTTTGCGAACCTGTGAATCTTCAAAATAAATACAAAAATATAAAAACACAAAACATAATCAAACCAATGTAATTACAACAAAAATTTGTAAATCAAAGGCAGACAATTCGATTTAATGAAAAATTTGCTGCTTTATATTTGATATCAAAGATATTAAACAAAGTTCAAATGAAATATCTGCAAGGCAGGCGAAATAAACTGGCCATTTCTCTGTTTTGTCTCAATGAGAGATAATGACGAAAAGCTTTTATCACATAAGTAAGTTGTACAAAAATCAGTAGTAATTTAATGGCTTTGCTATCAAATTTCACTAAATTACGAAGCGCGTGAGCATTTTAATCATTTTGATGATTAACATGGCAAGTATTATGTGCCCTCAAATTCCTTCAGTATGATGTCATAGAATTAAATTAACATCCAGCCGTTCAGGGCTAAAAATGTTGTATGACCTTTGACCAAGTTTGGTTCACGCATAAGAGGTAAAGCTCACAAAATAAATGGGCAGGCCATCAATGCCTTGCATTTTCCATTGAAATTTACAGGGTTACATAAAAAACGAGACCCATAAATTTATTATTAACTTTTACAAAAATGAGAAAATATATTAGATATTGTTTACCCTTCAAATTCTGTTTGTGCATGATTGTACTTGAAATTTTCAGGAATCTATGCCGCTTTGCACACAAGTTATGTTTTCTGTAGAGTTCCAAATCACCATCATGCATTGGAGACAGACTTGCATTTGTTGCGCAGAATTGTCATTAACACACGCTCCACTATGGGGACTTTTATTTTTGCTACCCACGGAATGTTCTGATACACATTGTTCCTTGAATACTCCCACAGATAAAAATTTGAGGTTTTCAAGTCAGATGAATGAGGTTTTCACTCGAGGTCACAATTCTTCACTGCCACATAATGTCCCATTCTCACTACTTGATTTCTGTCTTTAAACCAGTACGGACCAGTTAAGCAATGCTTTGCAATGGCTACCCATATAATAAAATTGAGCTTCTTTATTCCACCTCAGGACTACTGAAAAGTGATATTCAAGATGCAAAAGACACATACGATCTTGTTGAGGTACTTTACAACCATCGAGATGACAAAAAAGAGGTGATTTGTGAGGCCATAAAAGATATCTCGATAAAACATTACAACTTGAATGATGTGAATATCCAGGTGTTTTGTACAATCATCTCAAAATTGGACAAACTCGAAATGCTGAATATGCAGAATTGTGGAACATCTGAATATCTCAACCATTTTTTTAAAAAACTTGAAATGACAAACTGCGAGGTATGTAGATTACATAACTATATCTTTTTTCATATTTATCCCACTGAATGAAAAGAAAGTTGATAAAACAGTTTACCCATATAGCAAACTAGGCATTTAATCAGTTATCAGTCAAGGGTGATATTGGAATTGCTAACGAGTTGCTCCACATGAATGAAATGGATGGTATGCATAACCTATGCAATGACAAGGAGGTCAGCATACTTCCTGCACATAATTACTTTATTCTCAGAAATCTTAGACTGTGAAGCCATGCAGGTCAATAAACAATTTGATGGCAAGCATGTTTATAACATTCATAACATTACGGTGTCGAACACCGCTATGCTAATTACTTGAAAACTCTTCGTCTTATGCTGGTCAATGCTTGAAATTCTAGAATGATTTTTTTTTTGTTTTTACATAAAGATTAATTGATGAAATATTGAGTAAAGTTATCTGTATAACAGTTAAAAAATTTTATCATATTCCAGATTGCAAAAATAAGTATTTGGGGAATGAAAAACCTGAAAATCTACTCTCAATCCTTGCTGAAGCTTCTGGCTAAATCGGAAACAGAATCACTAACGATTCAGGCAGTTGAGCTTGAAAATAAAGATGTGGATCAGTTACTTGGAGATATTAAAAGCTTGGTAGATATTTAAATAAAACTTTGTACTTTGAAAAAATATTTGTTGACCAAAAGCAGTTGGAAGGAAAATACAAACATCGTTTATAAGCGTCACAATTCCTTGACAATAAATTGGGGGTTTGAAACCGTAACTTTAAATGCAAAGTCAACATATTTATGTCCAAGTTGCTAATCAGTGTATAAGATGCCATTGTTAACAGTTTTAAAGTTCAGTGACCATTGAAATGATTCGAGAAAAAATTAATCCAAATCATTTAATATTATTCAGAATTTGGAATATTCACTCCATGTATTGGCTTTGAGTCACAACAGTGAACTGGGACTGGAGGGCTTTCAAAAGCTCAGCGAAATTCTTCACATATTGCCTGTGAAATCAATCAATTTGTTTGATTGTGATTTAACTGACAACAAACTCTCAAATTTATTTGGTTCGCTTCAGCACAAACAGGTAGGGTATTAAGCATATTACATCTTCAAATTTTAGTTATCGAGTCCTATCACTAGCTTATCAAATATTTTTAAAGAATTTCAACAAAAAATTATTTTTTTATAAGCTTACTTAGTCCATGTGGCCTCTCAGAATTACCCCAAGAATTATTGTTCAAGTGGTTTTGTAAGACTGTAGTTTTTTCACGTTGAAAGATAGGAAAATATGAACCAGAATTGAATATTTTTGTAAAGGTATTGAGGAAGTCCTGATGATGTCTACTGTAGTAAGACCCGGGTTTTTGACTGAATTTCGATTTTTTTAGATATCAACTCTAGATGTAAGTGGGAACACTAAAATCACACATGAAGGATTCACGATTATTGGACAAATGTGTGAGAATTCTGAGCTGATGAATTTACACGTCAGATGCTGTGCAGTTATCAAGAAAAAGCTAGAGAGCTTGCAAAGTTCATGCACTAGCAATACAAAAGTATGTTGTTATGTTATATTGCAGGGGAGGCTAACCTACTTGCTACTAAAAGATTGAGATCGACTGATCGGTAATAAGGTACAATACACAAAAACAAATGAGTTTGAATATGCAGATAACTGCTTACGCAAATGAAAGAAAATCCGCCGCTGCCAATAAGCTCAGTTCTTTGGGCATATTCTTAATGATATCGCCATAAAAATTCGTGTTTTTTAGGTCCCAGTTAATTTGATTATGTAATTTTATGGGTAGTAAATGCTTCAACATGATTCATTTAAATCATACAATTCAAAATTAAGACCTGCCTAATTTTTAGTCGTAAGTGCTGAAAATTCCTCAAAAAACCTCGCCAAATATTCATGTATTATCTAAACAGCAAAAAATAAATATTCCCAAACCATAAATGTTACACGACTGACCAAACTTCCTAATTTACAAATTTCTCCTAGGCCGATTCTTTGCTCATTTGGAAATAGCAAGGATTGGGCATTCTGATGCCACTTCGAGTGAGACAAATACTTTAGCATTTTGCAGAAGTTATGGTAGGATCGTTCATCAGTCAAGGCACACAATATGCGGCCAGTTCGTTTCTTGAAATTGTCAGCGGCGAAACTACGTAATAATATGCTCTATCGGCCTTGTCCGGGCATGAATAATATATGTGTAGACTTGCGCGTGCATAGTGCTGTATTATTCCTGTTTTACAAGCACACAACATGCGCTGCATGAAACATGTTAACGACAATATTTGGAAATATGTTACCAAATTCTCATGCGTGGCGACGCGATCTTCTACTCAAGATGTAGCGATTGACGTGTTGGCTACCCCTGTTATATTGATATAAATCAGGGCTACTCATCTATTTTTACGAGAGGGTCGTAATCAGACCCTCAAACTACATAAATAAGGTCCAGCCTCTTCAGAAAATATATTTCACGAAGTGACTAATTATGATTTGGTGCTTTAGCTTATACTGTTATAGAATGATACAATAACTTCTGGAATTCGTAAAACTCGTAAAAAATTCGTAAAAAAGTCACTGAAATGACACTTCCATATATTTTAAGTTTTTTTCTTTGATCAATGCTCTAAAATCAAGAATTGAATACAGTCCAAACTGAAAATTCTCTAATTTATTAACTGTTGTGAGATTAATCATACAAGTTTATGGGGTAAATACCAGTAAAATTGCATCCAATTTGATTTGGTGAATTTTTACAGTTAAATCGTATTATGCTGTAAAATTAGCAGATATATATAATCATTTTCTTTCTTAATTGAAGATTTTACTCAAATAAATAATTATAAAAGTTCTATTAAGCTTACTTATATAAGCAATTTCGATTATCTGAATTCTTGAGGTCCTAAATTTGAATTTCGCCCAAGTTTGAGCATGATAAAATAGCGGTACCGTACATGGTTGAAGCTTTGCAATATTTTCAAATATAATGTTGCAGAGAGTATTTTTCCAGAGAAAATTTTTCCATTTTTATTAAAGATATCAAAACTTGACGTCAGCTACAATGAAACTCTTGGTTCTGAAGGAATGGCTGAACTTGGTAACGCAGTGGTCAACTTCGGAGTAAAAAATCTAAACATTGCAGGTTGCACATTGAATAAAAAGCTCATGAAGGCATTCAGAGTATCAATTGGAAAAAAGAGAAATATGGTGAGTTATTATATATACACTGAGTACAGTGTTATGAAATCAATTATTTGCAGCATAATGGCACTCTTAAAATTTTGTTGAATATGAGATGATCTATCCTTTGCAAGTCTGCTGAACCCCTATATTACTCTTTTGCCCAAACCCAGCGTTTTGAAAAGTTAAAATCAAGGGCGCAGCCAGAACTTCAAAAGGGTGAAGCCAATTTTGTGCAAGGTTATAGAAAATGCAACTGCCTTCAATTAACAGAATATACATTTTTCGCTTAATTGTTGCGCATAGGAGTTTTAAGGTTATATCTTATGGACATGCAATGGGTATCAACCACCAACAACCTCGAGTGCGCTGCTGGTTATAGCAACATAAATTGCAAAAATAGAACAACTACACATACGGTAGTTATCGAAACATGTCTCCGTCTTGATTGACGTACTCAAGGACAAAAAATTCGCTTGGATTGCAAAGTGTTTTGAATCACTACGATAACTTAAATACCAATACACCTTGTAGAAATAACCGCTGCTGTGCCATAATATCGTTGTGGAACAAAAGTGAGTCTCAACGGGGAAAATCTTCCAAAACTAAAATTGCAACTTTGAAATTTCAAAAACCCAAGTCATTCCCATATCAGACTTTATATAACAACCAGATACAGATAAAAAAAAATTGTTTTTAAGAAATAGATACGGTATGACTCATCACCATAATAAGGTCGTCCAAGACGGTTGATTATAATTTTAAGCAAAGCTCTGTCACAAAATATTGTCGCTGCGAATTCCCTCCTTCATTGATTGATTTCCTATTTATTCATGTACACTTATGATTCTCCACTCGTGGATAAAGCTGAGCTACATTTTATCAGTAGATTAGACATAATTATTATGTCTATGTTATTTATTAGTATATATTATACATAATGTTGACGTTTATGCAAATATTGAGCGTAAAATCAACAACCTGAGATATTCCCATAAGTAGAAGGCATCTGTGGTGATACAACAATTTTTTGGTAAAGTGGGATCTTAAGGTAAAACTGTCAGTGACAGTTCCAATAAAACTTATATCTGTGCGAAACTACACATAGCTAAGCTAAACATGAGAGTGTGGATATCTGGAGTGAAATTTTTAGTAATTTGTTTTAGTAATTTTTACATAATTAAAAGCTTGGTAATGGAAATACTTCATCACGTAAAGTTATTCCAGCAGGAGCTTCGCCGAACAAGCGTACCGAACCCCAGATGAACCCAGTTTCACAGACATACTCATGCAATAAGCTTTTTGTTATAGGTTGAAGAATTGAATATGTCGCGCAATCCTATGCTTGAGGACGGAATTACTGAAGTAGCCAGTCTGCTGCAAAGAAGTTGCTTGAAAAAAGTGGATTTGAGCAATTGCATGCTTTCTGTAGAAAATATTCGTGAATTTAGCTCAACATTGAGAAAAAAGAATATACAGGTTGGTTTGTGAGACTTCAAGTTCGAAACAGAACAATAGATTCTTTTGATATGGGTCAAAAGGAGTAGATATATAGTTGGATTTTATTTCGAATCAATCACAAAAATAGAGCTATACACACAGAAAAGATAAATGGGAAGAATCTGGGAAGTACAAGTAATGAACTTCTAAGTATCATAAGGTGGCATCTAATGTCTTCCGCCATCAAGCCAACTGTTTTCACAGGCTTATTGTTCAATCTGTTGAATAATTGTTATAGTAAATATTATCAACATAAATATTATAACAATTCCTATTATCTATTTTTAGGTTGAGACGCTGAATATAAGTGAAAATGATCCTTCTATCATTGTAACAAGGCACCATGCTGAAGCAGTCTGTGAACTTTTAAAAAATGTCCTGAAAGAGTTGATATTCAAAGTCCAATACATGAAACCTGAGGTCATAAAGATTTTGCAACAGGGATTGGAGGAACTTCCAAATGCACAGGTTATTCTTGAAGCACTGTAATCATTTTTCCAGTCTTATCGTAATCTTACAAAAGTCACAGTCAAGCATTGATATTAACAAAAATGCACTTTGGAATTACATTACCGGTAGGAAAGTGACAGTAAAAAGCAATCGAATAAATATTTTATGTCCTACCCAGCCAATCGTATCAGCTGTTACAAATTACCATATATAACTACTGCCTAAAAGTGCCACCTGTAGGTGGCCCATATATGATATTCATAGTGAAATGACATGATAACAACCTTCTGACCACACTGTTATATCTTCTTTTTTTCATTTCAGAAAACAATGGTTGTACTTGGGAATGGCGATATTTTGCAACCTCAGAATAGACAAGATTAAAATAAATATTTGCAAATGAGAAAAGACAGTCAGTCATTCATCATGAGTCATTTAGCACCTGTTTATCCTTTTAATTTGAGCAATCGTGAAAACATTTTTGTACGCCCTTGTGTTAGTGTATTTAAATGCATCAAGCACACAAAAGTGTTGAAACATTGAAGAGAATTATTATGATGTAGTATTTCAACATACCAATTTGTTGATTATAAGTTTTTGTGCAGAGAGTGAGTTTAATTTTTAATCGTTCTAATTAGTTCAAATGTTAAATATATTTGTTCACCAAACTTTTATCTTAGTGTTTGTAAATGTATTTTTACTGTCAGTGTAAGCTCTAAACCAGGGGTGCACAACCTTTTTTCTTCAGACGGCCGCATTACGTTTTTATAAATTGTCCACGGCCGCGAGTGAAGTCGAGGTCTTTTATTAGTCACATTTATTTTTAAAATTGGCTTTTATTGATATATCTTATTGGCGTGCGTCTAAAACATTTATGGAATGCTTAAATTTATACAAATATACTGAATAAAAGTGTTTAAGGGTGACAAAATATTTTTATCAAATCGAAATCCACAGTCTGAAGAGAAGCCAGAGCACCAGTCGACACTTACTTAATTACTGTTGTTATGGCGCAGCGAGAGGGCCAGGCCAAATCTCCGCTTCTTTTTTAACATTTTCGGGAGGCCTTAAAAGTTGCTAATAACGCATGCTGTTTTCACTAATGTTATTCAAGTCGCCGATTGTTTTGGTCAGCTTGACGCGGTTATTTAGGCCGTTAACATAGATATTATGTTGGTAAATTATCTCAAAAAACTCGTTATAATGCGATCATCGGCATAAAGACGCTAAATATAATTAAAAGGGTGAATCTGCAAATAAAAATTTCCAACTGAAAATAAGCGAGTGAATATTAAGACTCTGAATTTTTTTTTATTATATTATGATGCTATATAAGTTAATAAGTGTGAAGTATGTTCAAACAATTTTTTTTTGTACTAAATTAAAATGTAATTTTTGGAATTTTATCGTAGACCTTCGGATATTTCCAACGACGATAACGAATTCGCAAGACCGCAGGTAAAAGATTCAAAACTAAATGTAATTGAATAAATTTCCCACGTATATCAATTTCCGCTGATTGCCCTGCTATATTACAGTAAAAAATAATGCTTATATGTTAATAATGCTTATAGGTGGGTCGATTAAATCGGAAGTTATGTCGTACACAATTAAATTTATATAGGTATTTTAAATGCTCGCATCGGTCGTTGCGTAAGTATTTTGCTCAACGTAAAAAATTCTTATCCACCGAAAAATCAACGAGTAGCGTCATCGCTATATCATGTTTCAGGAGCTGCCGTATGGAAAGTTTTGATTCCGATTCCGGCTGGCTGCGCTTCTGACATTTTAGTGACATGAAGCGATGTTTACAACTGTTACCTTTTATAATCTCGAGTTTAGTTTATTTTGCATTAAAGACGTAACAGTCAAGCGCCAACATAGTATGATATTAAACATATACCAGCATGGCCGCACATTTCACCTTCGAAGGCCGCATGCGGCCGTACGCCGCAGGTTGTGCACCCCTGCTCTAAACCTTAGGTAGCAGTTTATAATAATCTATTTTCTTATCTAATATTCATGCTGTTATCACTAATAATTTTCATTTACAAAAGTTAATACAATTGTGGAATATTCTAGTGTTTGTAAATTTATTATTACTGTCAGTGAAAATTTCTAACCTTAAGTAGTAGTTGCTTAAAATCTATTTTCTTATCAAATATTCAGATGTTACCACTAATAATTCTCATTTTCAAAAGTTGATTTTAAAATATTCTGTTCTTACTGTCACTTGAGCGTAAGTTTGCAAACATATATCAACTGAGTATCCATGGTGGCATAATAAATTTATATGGTAACAGAATGCTACGTTGATTTTCTTTCAGTTTCATTTGTTTATTTTAATAATAATTCAATTTTTGTGAAATCATGTCAGAAGTAATTTGTAAAGAATGGTTTTGAAAAACAAATTTTTGTGAAATTTATTTTCAGAATATAGCATACCAATATATTTATTAACAAACTGTAAACAGAATTATATCTAATGGCTGAGAATAACGAAAACTCTGAAATGCAAGTGGACATATGGAAAGTGGAATCTACCAGTCACTGTGAAATAAAGCTCACCTATCATTTTACCACATTTTTAAGAGAAGGTGACTTGCTCGAGCAACATGAACATAACATACTGAAAAGTGATGTCCATTATCACAAGTCAATTGGAGAATTTGTGAAAATGCAGTCTCAGCTTAAAGATTCTCAAAGTGAAATACATGGTACAAACAATGGAAAATACTTGCATAGTAAAATTTCTACTGCATTTCTCATTGAGTTACTTCAAAAAGTGACACATTGTTTGAAGTACATTCATGAAAAGCAAGCGAGTTTTGGACAAATTGATTCTTCATGTGTTTATTTGTCTGAAGACCAAAAGCAGATCGCAATTGCAAACCCTGCTTTCTGTAACAACATTAATAGCATGAAATGTTTTGCGCGATTGGCACTGCATATTCTTTCTAATGGTCTTGTATCGGACCATGAAACTTCTCCAAATGTCAAATCATTCAGTGAGCTGAGAGCTAAATGTCAACAGAAGAAAATAGTGAACGCATCTTCTTTATTACGTATTTTAATAGATGAACAAAGAAAAGCAAATAGCGTAAATACTGAGGCAAAGCAAGAAAATAATATTCTTGAACGAATTAAATCTTTGACTGACTTTTTGTGCTGCAAAGAACCAATTTTAGCTTTTGATTTAGTGATTAAGATGTACAATGGAGAGTATGGTTTTGATGAAATGCTGAGTCATCCATTTTTCTGGTCAGAGTCAAAAAAGTGTCAGTTTATATTGAATGTTTTTGGGTATTTCAAGATGAAAGATGGATTTAAAGATGGATATAAAAAAAAATATGACGATGATTTACGTGGAAAATATAAAATGTCTGGTGAATTCGTATTCTCTGAAAATGGATGGATTGAATCTCTCAAGATATCTGAGGATGATTTGGGCAAAATGAACGAAACAGAAAAAATTGTCACTGCTACAACAATCTGTAGTATTGCTATAGTCAAAAAACACGAAAAACATTCATTGTATGATTTGATGCGTTTCTTTCGCAATCGGCACAGTCATTTTTTTGAGGATGGGGAGGCTGTTAGGCTTGCCTTTGAAAATAATGCAACAGGTTTTTGGAATTTTTTTGCTTCCAGGTATCCTTGCTTTCTCTACTACATTTACATGAAAATGTGGCCCAATGTGAAAAAGCATGTGGAATTCACAAGTTTTGGAGAACGTGCTCCAGAGTCAAGTTATCTGTGTACCAAGTTCATTGCGGACTCATAAAATAGTTTATTTTTTATTTGCTACGAGCTTCCAAAATATATGTTTGAGAACATTTTTCAACTACAAGACGTGCATTAATATGTGGTATCAATAGACGAGTTTGTAGTTTTTTTGCCCTATACCTATTGAAAAAAACATGTAATTTTTGTCAAAATTTTCATAAGCTCGGATCATTTTTGTATCAAATTTTAGGATGTTGCAAAGTGTTTCGTGGGCGGCCACTACAATTTTGTAGAAGAATGTCATATTTAATGATTTCGAGTCGTTTTTTATATCTACCTATCAAATCTTGAAGAGGATGTTTTGCTAGTGTTTTATTCAAATCATTATATTTGGTATTGTTCATTTGTTCTTAGCAGTGCCTGATTCAACTTTATTGTTGTTTTTATGTACAGTTTTTGGTAAACAGTCTCATGCCTTTTTTAGACTGATATAAAAATCTTCAAGATCCAATTTATTTACTGCCTGTATTTTTTTTTTGTCGAGCACATTTAAAAAATAGTAGCATCTTGTTGAATATCAGTGGCTGCCTAGGTATTGTTTGGAGGCATGAACAAGTGTCCCGTATAGAATATACCTGAAGTATTTGGTGTTTCTATGTGTAGAATATTCACAATACAGAAGGATTGTATTACTTAATTATTCATGTTATTTTGACTTTTATTACTATATCGGCTTTTGCAATTTTCATCCACTACAACTATTTTTTTTATAAGATATATTCTGATTGTCAACTTTTATACCTAATCTTAGTTCATTGTAAATTTACACCTGTGGCATTTTAATTCAAGAGAATATCACTATCTGTTTTGGTAAGCACCGAAAAATAGGCTCAAATTATAACACTTATGCGAAAGTCATGCTGCGGTTGACTGGTTAATTTTATCCAGTTATCTGTTAAAGTGATTCCCTCATAAACCCAGTCCTAAGAATTACATTTCTCTGGCGCTCCAGAGATGCGTGTACCTATATGGAGGTAAAGTTAGCCTACTTTACATCAATTTGTGTAAAGGGACTGAGTCCTATAAACAGGGTGATATTCACTAAGCTAACACAGACAGTCCCTGAACACGTGTTAGAACTAAAATAAGGAAAATCGGAATAAAATTATGGCCGAACCCTAACTTGATACACATACTACAGGAGTACTAAGAAGCTTATGGGGTAATAGATTTTATTTTGATCGTTTTGCCAAAGATAGAATAATTCTTGTTTTTATTCATCAAATTGCATTTGTTGTTAAACCTTATTCAATGGTTTCTCTCACTAATGTGAAATGAAATATATAAATATATATGTGCAATCATATTGTAGGAGAAAACTCCATGTTATGTTTCGGTTCAATATACATCCTTTATACATTGAAGTATAATTTCGTGAAGCGAAATATGCTGTTTGTGTGCGATGTCTCAAATCTGAATCATCTACAGCTCATTATTGACAGCAATCTTTGGCTGAGAAAAACAATATAATATTCTCTACGCTTGCAGACTGGTCGAGTGGATATTATCTGTCATCTTTTCCTCCTTCTACTTTTGAGTATGACATTGTAGATATAATACCTGCTTTAAATCTGCTTTCCCAATAAGTCTTATTGTTTTTCCTGTTTGAAACGAATAGAATGGTAACTCGTGATATCAATTCATTATTGAAATTGTAATTGATTCCTGTAAGTAAATGTGTTGACTTTTGCTTTATATGTTATTTTGATTATTGTGAGAGTGGAATATTTATTTCTAATAACTTTGTGATACAAAATTAAATTAGCAACATAAAGCCCGACATACCACTTTGGCCTGTATAAGTCCCTCCAGTCAAAAACTGTTTGATTTGATTATCTTTTAAATTCTGTGTGATATTTTGTTTATTTGTAGTAACATCTGTATAATAAATGATCAGTGTGATAGACCGGGACTGAATTCAACTGGTAGGGTGGTTAATGGGATCGTCCCATAAACTACGACCATGCATCTCGAGAGTTTTACCGGTTGTCTATTTACATGGTCTGGTCTTTAGAAAGGAGCTATTAGAGTCATTTTATTTTATTCACCCCTTTAAATATATGTGAAAGACGAATCCCAAGTCTTGTTAGGCATCCAACTTCGCATTATTGACTAGTGAACCAGCACTTGAAATCAGTAATCATTAGTTTATTTTTCTAACATACATAAAATGCACCAATGCGGGGTTTCCCAAACTGGGGTCCGCTGACCCGTGGGGGTCCTTTGCATTTTTCGGTTGAGTGTTGTGGATGAATAGCCATTGCTGTTAGAGAACGAGGCAATTAAAATTTCATTGCTTGTTGCAACGACTATTTTTTCAGCTCTTACCAATACGATGACAAAATACAGGTCGAGACTTCCTGTAGAGTCCGACCTACAAGTTTGCTTGTCACAAATTGCCCCGAGAATTGATAAATTGTGCAGTGAAAAGTAACCTGATTCACCACATTAATGTCGTTTGTGTTGTAAATAAAATACTATCCTTCTTTGTTGTTTAGGCAAAGAAATTAATACGACATAGGATGGGGTTCCATGAAAACTAGGATTTACAAACAGGTGTCCCTGGCCCAAAAAGTTTGGGAAGCGTTTTTGTTGTTAAGGCAAAGAAATTAATACAACATAGGATGGGGTTCCATAAAAACTGGGGTTCACAAACAGGTGTCCGCGGCCCAAAAAGCTTGGGAAGCGTTGCACAAATGAATACAGAATGTAAAAAGCAGCGGGACTGATATTTTGGGGTCACGAAAACCAAGACTGGTGATGGAGCAGCAACACACGTGATTAAAAGCAACAGGAATTAATAATAACATAAAAATCGAAAAATAAGCAAAAGGAATAACAGTCGAGGCGACCTGAATTTCCAGAAGATGCCCTGGAATTGATTATTAGAATAGAATAGATTTTTCTGTGGGGTGGAGGACAAAGTAGGAGAAAATTTAGACTTGATGGTTCAGCTAACCGTGGGCGACCACCCTACGGCCTAGGTGCCATTCAGCAATTCTCAGATATGAGTTTGTGATTGTGACTAGTCCATAATTATTAGTCATCAATAGGACACAAGAACTAGACACCGCAGTTCTACACGCCTTCTCGAAGAGCAAAAATTCCGTGATATACACTAGGTGACAATAGAGAACATACGAGTCTATGACCTTTGAACGATTAACCCCTGACCGCAAGAACATTTTTCAGAATTTTAATTTGTATGATATTACTCGGGTATATACTTTTTATACAGTACATTTAAAAACATGTAATACTGACCTTTAATTGGAATGTTAACTATCAAATTAACATGACTCGCAGATAATACACAAGCCGCTTGGTGGCAACAAGAAGGGTAGCCATGACGACTAAATTTCAATTTCCGGTCTGTAGGATACATTTTTATTTGGATGTTTTTACTTGTTGCGGCAGATCACGTTGCTGCGAATTTATTAAAACTTGATTCAGGAGGACTTGAAGCAGATTCTCAATATTATTCAAGTAAGTACCAAACGAGTTTGACCTGCGGATTGCTGACTGAGCCAATAGCTTCGCCGCTTCAGGTGTGTGATAACGAAAATAATATAATTGGCTATATCAAAAAATATCAGGTTATAATTCCGAATTGGCAATGGATTAATTTAGTGGAGGAAGTTGTGAGTTGTGACCAGCATATATGTGTCAATTTTATGATAAAATTAATAATTAACTTAGCAGTCTCGTTTCGACTTTCGATTATTTTGACTTGTTTTTGACTCTTTTATTCAGAAGGTGCTGACTCATAATAAATTTGCCTGTTAAGTTGCTTTTCATATGAAACACTTTCATTTATATTTCCTAATGATGGTGAAAGAAGTTGTGCTTAACCAGAGATTGCATGTCAATTTTATGTTAAAATTATAAATCAACTTTGAGCAGTCGTGTCTCGAATATTCTCATTCTGTCTGAGTTTACCGTACTCACTTTAATAATTCCCAATATTTAAAAGCTGTTTAATGTCAATCCGAATCAAAATTTTTCACTTGCAACTATCATGGCATTTCCTCAAAAAAAAATCTGTTTTGACTGGAAGTTAAAATTTAATCATCATGGACAGCCCGTAGTTGACATCAATTGACTGTAGATTGTGGAAACTTGTATAAAATATTGAGTTGCTATAAGACAATTTGAACTCTTCAATGTCCTATCATATATCTTCTAACATAAGCTGTGCATTAACTCAGAAGGTGCTGACTCATAATATATTTGCCTGTTAAGTTGCTTTTCATACGTGACACTTTCATTTATTCAAGAATATTCTTAATTTACTCATACTGAAGCCAAAACCAATCTTTTAATAAAAGCATTTTTTGCATTGAACATTTCTTTTTATGTTTTAATTTTAAATCAAAATGGTATTTAACAAGCTGTAGTGAATTGGTTTCTATAGTGATATTCATGGAATTATTCTTGAAGAAATGACTAATTTTGTCTATTTGATGCATATTTTCGGTATGCCTATTGATTACCAGTCAATTTTTTTATCTTCTCAGGTAAAATTTTATTGTTTCAATGTACCTGGTTCATGCCTATGAATGCCCAACAACCCAAAATTTTATTTTGTCGCACAATTTGCCAGCTGTCAATCCACAGTTTTTAAAATATATTTTAGTCCTGCTAAAACAGTCTCTCAAAATGACCCATTGACAAATAGAGCTGTAGATGTAGATTTATTGAAATGAATCTGGTTTGTCACAGCGCACATGTAGTGTTCATGGTTCGATGCTCATGAATTGCATGAATGATTTAGTCCTGCGCGAAAATACATGTCAAGGAGGGCAGAAGGACATTACCGGTCATAACGTTCGGGTCGACCAGGCTCCTCTATCGCTGACTTTTTTCTTAAATAAATATATGTTTATAAAAAAATTTATACTGGTAGTATGAGTGGACACTAAACTAAGGAATTCTTGTTATTAAATAAATCAACTCGACACATACTGTACAAAACTCTGGCAATGACAATTCAAAGAATTCCTAAATAAAATATGAAATTTCGTTTTTTTTGGCCTGCAGAGCCAGTTAATTAGTCGGGATCAACCCACGCAGGGTAATCAGAGATGCGGTTGCGAGCCAAATCCTATTGGGTGATTTATTCCGGCCTGCCTTAATCCTGCCACAACTAAATTAAAACCGAATTTTGATGTTTCAGCTATAAAATACTCAAGAAATTTGAGATTGCAATTAAATTAAGTTTTGGTACAAGGTTTATTGTTTCCTACAATGTAACTTTTACTTCACACTTATTTGGTCGCCAGTCAGGTGGACAAGATCTTTGGCCCCTGGTCCAAAAACTTTGCCCACCCTGCTCTTAGAGTTTATACACTGATATGCAAAGGCCTTCCCACCCAAATAATTACATCCCAAACCAGATCAAAGATCTTTAAACTATGATGCTGGCATAGGCCCTAAATCTAAAAAATCCTAAAAACTGTACTGCAAGCCTTTTTTTGCTGAAAAACAATATCAACATTTTCACCCAATTTAAATCTTACACAGCACGAAACGAAAAAGTAGTACAAAATCCAAGTTTATTTTGAAAAATCCAACTGGCCACAATTTCACCAAATTCACCTTATTGATTAATTCGAAAAAGGTGTTCAAATGATTCGACAAATTCACAAAGAAGATTTTTCAGGACCTTCATCAAATTTTAATAAAACACAAAAATTGAAGACCATCTGAGATATAAATTTCACTCATGTTGGGGAAATTCACACTAAATTCTAGCAACTAGGCAAACACTCCCCGATCCAGGTTGAAGATCACAGCCATGAGAAAACCCAAATCTCGACCACGAAACTTCTGCTATTGTAAACCTTCAAAATGTTTAATCAAATTATTTGGCGCTTCCGAAGTCTGTGCACCAAGATGGCCCACAACCTGATAACCCTAACTGGGTACTTATACTGTGTTCAGGTTGTGCGCCATCTTGGTACACATACTTCGGGAGCACCAACTATTCTGTTAGAATTTATAACTAGTACAAATCAGGAACTCTGGTGGATCAAAAAAGGCCATTTTATTACGCAGATGCAGACTAGCGATTCTGCTGATTGAATATTCTAAGAATTTTGGATTTGAAATGATTATTTCAGTCACAAAGCTGTGAAGAAGCAGTTTATTGGCAAAGCAATGAAAATTTCTAATATAAACTTGGACTGCATATATCATGGCTATTTCCGCTCCACTTCATTTTACATCAGAAAAATGCCGCAAATTGGTTTATTTTTTTATTGCCATCAAGACATGAAAAAGTGGTTTGCAGCAAATTAAAATATAAGGACAAGAGTCTCGAAACCAAGACTATTTTTATTTGAAATCATATTGTTATCGATGCCTATTCACCAGAACCTCGACTAGGCCAGGGGACTACCTGTTCAGATGAAATATGAGAATACCTGACCAGTAAAGTGTTTCACAAGCACAGATTTTTAAAGCTTCGTTGGATTATAATTAGGGCTGAGCATTTCAAATCGAATAGTATATTATTCGAAGCGGCTTAGACAGGAATTTTTAATCGCCGCCATATTGTTTTTTTGACCGTCCAAAGGACAAATTCGTAACAAAATATTAAAAATACAATTCTGACATGTGAATCTTTTCTTCCGAGTAACATGACACATGTTTCTTATTGTGTGTTAACACTCAGCAAACTGCCTGAGTGATAGAGTGTGTGTCTGGAGGACCCATTACAATAAACCAGTCAAAGCTATATATTGTCCAAGTGTTCGAGATTCGATTAAAAAAATATATTCAATTTTAGATTCTGAAATCATCAGATATTGGAAAAATGGCCAGTCAATTATAATAATGTCCAATTGTATACAAAGACACTATTTCACACAAATTGTACGAAATCAGAATTTTCCTGAATAGAAAAATATTTGAAGATTTGTATCTTTAATTCTGTTTAGGTTAGCTAGGTTACTGCCCAGCCTTCTAACTTGAACCAATCAAAATTGAGAAAATAAATCAGAAAATTTGCTTCGAAATCCCATTTTCAAAAAAATAAGACTATTTCCAGAAAATATTTCCAAATCTCTAGCTCCCATCTTGAAATCTAGCATTTACGATGTTTGTGATGTATCCATCGCTTCAGAATCTGCGTCTTTCTCCGGCGCTTTCTCATACGCTCTATCACTAGGTGTCACTACAACTCCATCCCACACAGACATCGCAGTCGTGATCGTTGTTTCTCCTTCCAGTCCCAAAATTGCTCAAAAACCTCCGTGAGCTAGAACTCTGAGCAGAGTCTGGGCAGTGTAACATACCTATTACAAATTGAATAATATTGAAATGAGCATGATGGGATGTATTCGACAATTGATAAAACATTTTATTTGAAAATAACCAACAGCCTACCTAATCCAGAAGATACTATTAAATTGGAGCAGACAATATTAAGCAGAACACGCTATAGCCATGATTGGTAGTGCCTCACAGCGGTGTAGCCAGGAAATAAAAAAACGGGAAGGGGCCAAGTTAGACCGTAGCCAGGGATGGCCAATTCGAATAAAGTATTCGAATATCTCGTCATTCGAATATCGGAATTCAGGTTCATAAAAATATCGGATATTTGTGTGACGTCACACATTTTCGACGCCGCTTTCAAGACGTTTCCGTTGAATGAAAACATTCTCGTTAGAAACTTGCGCGTGATTGTTTTCATCACTTATCAGCGTAACGTGGTATTTAGGCCCGTAAACGCCTTCACGATTGTGTTATTTTCTCTAAAACGAAAATTTTCAACAAATTTGTTCCACGATAACGATAACATTTATTTTATTTTTGTACGCGCATGGAATTGTGAATCTGGTAAATACGTTCATCGGCGGCGAGTTTCTAAAGACAACGCAACTTTTTGATTGAAAAGCGGCAATTTAAAATACTGAAAATAAAACCGTAAACAACATAAATTTTATTGAGGCCCGCGAAAATTTAAAAAACGCTTTTCTAGGCAGGGACTCTTTTAACAGATGGCATAATCGCGGCGATGAATATGTATTTTTAATTTACTGCTAAACTTTATATGTATATTCATTGTATGAAATGAATTATTCTCTACACTTTATATAATCATTTGAGATTTTTCTAACGGCTATAACGAGTTGGCAAGATTGCAAAAATACATATTAAAATTAAATACATCAGGCAGTTTATCTCGTAATTTTAGGTCACAGATCGCCGTGGACCGAATAGTAATGTTTTTTTTTGACGTAAGAGAAAGCAACCGCGAGTTATGTTGGACACATTAAATTAATATATAAAGATATTTTAGAATCTCGTAGTTGTCATGGATTGAATATTTTACGTAACAGAATGATGATTATACGCTGAAAAGACGGCTCTTTTAACGAGCGCGGAATCTCGGTGGGTGTTACAGGCGGCAATGGGAATTTCCGATTTCGAAAATCCTGGCTGCGCGCTGGCATTGGGGGTCATCTATTCTCTACTAATTTATTTCTAACTCCAAACACAACAATATGTTACACATAATAACAATATGGTTCACATAAATTTATATACAAATATACTGGTAAGTAGTAGAATACTCTAGGCTTAAATATTAGAATTTTTAATGGCATAATGAATTTTCGATTGTTATTGCCTGTATTGCCAATAAATTTTATTACTCTCAGAAAATATACACAATGAGTCAATGACAGAAAGCGTCAGACAACTCCTTGGCTATCTTTTCATATGGTCATTTGTACAAGTGAATAATTTTAATTAACTGACTGTGTCACAAGTTGCTATTATTTTTTATTGATAGCTATAAACTATCAATTACTTTGTGTACATTTACTGTTGGTCTGTGGCTTCATTCTGATATTTCTATTGAAGCTTATTTCCAAAACAAAAATGTGTTATTTTTGATTTTAGAATGTATTCGGAATTCCAGACTCGAAAACATTATTTTAGAATGTATTCGGAATAGTTTAGTATTCGGAAATGGCCATCCCTGACCGTAGCAACTAACGGGGCTTTCGAGGATCTTAAAAGCGAAATTGCTATGTATGATACAGAAAAATACATTTCAAAAGTGGGGGTTAGTTCTGGCCCTCAAAACCCTCCCTGGTGCCGTATATATCATCGTCTGATCATCATCTAAGGCAGTGGTTTTCAACCTTTTTTTCTTTCGTGGCCCACTTTTGTTACACAGAAAATACTGTGGCCCATTGCCTTTCATATGCAAGAGAAAAACAAAAAAATTTTATTCCCAAAGATAGAGACCTCCACTCTAATAATTAAAATGAGAATTACCACTCAATAGAAAAAACAGCATCATCATTCATTGCTACTACAATCAAAGTTTACCCAATTTCTCAATAACTCCATTTTTATTAGGTTTGTGGCCCATGGCCCACCGGTTGAAAACCAGCCCACCGGTTGAAAACCAGTAATCTAAGGCGTTGTCTAGAGTAAAAACATGTGAAAATACATTTATTCACTGGACAGACACCCCTACCTGTTTTCCAAACCATACTCCCTTCCCCTAAAATGAAAAGCTGGGGAACACAATGATCGCACCGTAGATGGAATGGAGGTTATATGGTTTGACAGAAAATAACAAACCAGCGATGCCAACAGTCTTATTTCCTGAAAAGTGTTTACTTAAATTAATTCAAATCTTTCATATAATGCTTATTCACGCCAGGGTGATTCCTTGTATATGGCTTGGAACATAGTGAAGGGTGTTGAAAAAAATATTATGAATTCTCCGACATATTGAAAAAGCGTGCTCACCATATCTTGTTGTTCCAAATTCATTACTGTATGAACTCTGACATTTCCACTTTCACATGGGTCAACGATTCCTGCTGAACCAGGAAGGAAGAAACCAGAAGAGAGAAGTTGAAGACATCGCCTGAAAAATGATTCCATTTATTTATTTATTGACAAGGTCATTTGAAAACAGACAGGGTCAAAGGCATGCTGGGTTATGAATTCATTCTTATTTGCATCAATTATTCTGCAAATGTGAATACTCACAACTGTCAAAAAGTCGTCAAAATTTCACACAAATTTATCATCATCACCCAAAATTGTCCATGTAAAACAGAGCTTCACAGAAATAACACTAATTACAGACACATGAAAATAAATCTTACAAATATAAAATTTTCATACGTCTCCAGAATTTTTACAAATTGCATATTTCTCACTAACTTAACAAAAATAGGATAATTTAGGATGGGATTCACATATTTATCCTGGGGTAGAGTAGAGGGGGTAAGGTAAGACGGCTTAATCATGTGCCGAACCACATCCTCTCACCCGGTTACCAGTCAGTGTCTGGTATTGAATTAGTTAGCCTGTTATTTGTTTCAGATACATGGACTTGATGGTGGAGGAAGCCGTAACAGGCCAGCGACTACGTAAGCCACCCTGTGGCGGCAGGGAGTCCAGCAATCATCTCGCACATAATTATACGAGCATGAAATTCAAACCCATGCAGGGTAGACAGAGGTGCGGTGGCGAGCGTATTCCAAATGCTTATCGCGATGCGTCACACCGCCAAGCAAGCCATTTATCAAGAATGTCACACATAAAATAGTGAGTAGCACACGAATGACACAAAAATGACAGAATTTGGCATCAAGCAAATCTCCCATTAATAGTAGAAAGTAATACAATATTTCTTCTAAATTTAAATGAAAATACACACAAAATTTCTCACATATGGGAGAACTTCATACTAGAAGTACTGAAACCCACCCACAAATTATAGGGTGTTCTAAAGTCTTAGAATTGCAAAGGAAAATTATCGTTTCCTCAATATATTGTTTTGGCCCTCACAGATGTATCAAATGAGGTAAAAGAACAATTACCGAATAAAAAGCAACAAAACTGGTTAGGATATATTGAAAAATGCTCTCATGACAAAATTGAAATTGTAAAAGGAATTTATGGTCACTCTGTATGTTTTCTTGAACTAACCTGAAAGCTGCATTGATAGGCAAAGGTTGCCTGCTTGGCGTATTCATGATCGCATGGTGAGCTAGCAAGTCTATTATCCACATTGTCAAAGGCTCGAGCCCCGCAAATCTTGATCGGAGATCTTTCAGGAGACGAATGAACATCTTGGTGCTGGAAAACGATTTTTTATTTATAAAAATTCCTCTCTGAACAAGGCAAAGAGCAAGCAAGTGTAATAATCTAGTTAAAGGTGTTTCTCAAACTGTTCAAGCCGCAACCTCTCTTAAGAATTTGTCAAGTCTCGCGCCCCACAAAATAACTAGCTAACAATAAGCTTTAAATACCAGATAGTAAGGGGAAAGTATGTTTCATTTAGAAAATATGTTGAAAACCTGTGGATGAAATAAATTGATGAGTTATAAAAACGAGCAAAACAAATACGTTCATTCTTTATTAACTTCACGCCCCCTCAAACAATTGTCTACAATCTCCTTGTGGGTTGCTCCCCACCGTTTTAGAACACCTGCTCAAAAGCCATTAGTTAAGTTACTGTACTACTAGGTCATAACTCACTTACCTTGAATGAAAAGCATTTTCCTCGAACCATCTGACATGACGAATAGCAGCGAGAGATGATTGCAGTATCTTGTGACTCATATGAGTTGAGGAATCCAGCTTTCTCATGTTTCCTGGGGGAATTGCAATCCCCACTGAGACTTTATCCTGGAAAAGAAAGAGTTACTTGTAGGAATTTGAGCAAAGTGATACTGTAACAAGTTTTTGTTTCCGCTAACTTAGGTATTTGTGACGACTGATTTGTTAATTGTTGCCGACTAGTTTCATTGTGATGATTTCATTGTCTCGTGAATATGAGATTTGTTTTATGGAAGTGGAAAATTACCTGTATTTTTCCGATAACAAAGACAAAATGGGGTTATATTCGATGATTTTATAATGTTACAAATTGAAAATTTGTTACAATATCACACGCTTTCATCCAAAATAGAAGGGGACTCATCGAAAAGAAAAGCTAAGAGCATTGCTGATACCAAGTAGTTACTGGAACTACACATAATCATTATGACATTGTGTGACATTTACTTCCAACTTTCTCATGTTTCAAGGAGGAATTGTGATCCACACTGAGAATTTATCCTTTAGACTTTAAAAGAAAGAACTACTTGTAAGAATTGGATCGAAGCGATATTACACACGTTCACCCTAAATAGAAAGGGGACTCATCTCAAAGAAAAGCTAGGAACAGGGGTGAGGGGGGGGGGGATATTTTTTGAAGCTGGAATGCTTTTTAGCTTTTAATAAAGACTCTTCGAAACCCACGTTGATCTTCTGATGATCTATAATCGCAGCAAATTTGAAAAAATCTGTCATTAAATAATTTTGGTTTCCCGAAGTGGCGGACAATCTGAACATAGTATGTGTACCAGGTTAGGGTTATCAGGTTGTGCACCAAGCCATCTTGGTGCACATACTTCTGGAGCGCCATAATTTAACCCTAGTACAGAGTTAAAAGTCTTTAAAAGCATGGAATGAATTTAAAAAAAAGCAGAGTATGTTCACTTCAGCACCATGCTAGCGAGTCTAGAGTCTTGTTAGTTAAATTGAAGTATACAGTCTCGATTTAAAGTCTTTGGAAGCAAGAAATGAATTGTAAAAGTAGGGTGTGTTCACCACAGTACCATGCTATTGAGAATCGTGTTAGAGCTGGTATAAAGTGAAATCAAAGTATACACGAAAGTGAACACTAATCAACAGCCTTGCAATGAGCTAATATAGATAAAATCATATAGTTTCATACCTGACCATCAACGAGCTCAAATCCATTCTCTGTTTCGGTCATTGTAAGTGTGATTTCAGAATCCTCTCCCTTCTTCACTGTTTCAATAATCTGGAATATTTATTCATTAATTATACAAAAGATGTTAAATTGGGACAAATTATGATATCTGTCACATAAACCAGGGGTGTGCAACCTTTAATACAGGAGGGCCAGATTCAAATAACTGGGTGAAACCACGGGCCGAACCCTTATTTAACATAGGCTTTTTGTAGTTGTAGGGACAAAACTACTGGTTATTTATCTTATGACATGCGTTGTTCACTTCGCACAAGCTAGCTGTTAGGGCATTGTAACATCCTAGGCATGGATATTAAGTTGGACTCAAGTATAGGCTATGCAACGCAAAGGGATTGGAATTACTTTTAGCAGATTAAATAAAATTGAAAACTCGTATCACAGGCCACACCTCATTCAAATTTAGCACTTCTCCACGGGCTGCATAATTTTTCTGTGTGGGTCACATTCGGCCAGCGGGCCGCAGTGATATAAAACCATTGAGTAGTTTCAACTTTCCAGTATGCTTCTCACATTTAGTTGAAGACTTAGGATCTTTAGCAAAAAAACATGCAACTCCTCTATCAGTGGAGAGTGGTTCAAAAGTCTAATATCACATTTTCACAAATTTTATTTTGTTACATTTCGTATGACTAAAACCAAAACTACTATGAAATACAGGGTGTCCATAAAGTCCCTTTGAATTTTGTTATGAAAACAGGTCTCAATATATCTCAACCAGGTTTGTTGTCTTTTAATCAGTAATTGTTTAGGTATTTTTACTTTATTTAATACATCTGTGAGGGCCAAAACAATGTATAGCATCGGTAAATTCCGTTTGCAATTTTATAAATTTTAGAACTTTACGAACACCCTATAAATGTTTTGTTGGCAAGGGACCTTGCTTTAACCTAGACTTATTTTGAAACTTGAATTGATATTCAGGTTATAACTTCAACCTCACAGCCACACAAAGTGCTGTTTTTAATTTTATGTGAAAACTTTTTGACTAATTGTATTGCTGTGCCTTTAAAACACTTGACAAGAGTTTCCTAAATTAGCAAAGTTGATTTATGTGCATGTTCATTGCACAACATTCAGTATTTTACGAATGTCATGGTTATATTCAGAAACATGCAAAATTTTATTATTCTGTGATAGGATTTCCATTTTTATTTAGAGAAAAAGAGAGGGGAAAACCAGTAAGATGACTCTACTAAAATGATGAAGCCCCGTCTCTCAACTATATACCAGTCAACGTTTTGAATAAATAATTCTTATATTCCAAATTTTTGTGTTTAACCTAAACGAGGTAGGACAACAAAAGCGCCTAATATATGGCAAACTGTGGCCTCTCGTCCAGGTACCAGCCCATGTCACAGAGAAATAATATTACAAACTGTTTTTTTAGTTAGAATAGTCTTGAAATATGAAGCAATATAAGAAGTTTGCTTGTTTGCCGCCTGAGCTCGAACCGGGGATCTCCCATGTGTAAAGCGAACGTGGTAACCACTGCACTACAGAGAAAGATCTATCGATATAAAGATATTCAATCTACATAAAAGTTGTATATTTTGGTCCCAATTCCAAACTATTTATTTCCAATCTATTAGGTTGTTTGCATCACAAGTTAAAATCTAGAATAATAAAGGTAATCCAGGTAATAAATTTGGAATGTAATGTCTGACCAGAAAGATAAGGAATTTAGAATCAGTAAATTCATGTGTAACAGTGAAGTTTGTTTAAAACGGAGGTGCATAAAACGGTTTGGTATGAGAAAAACTTTAACACAGCTAGATGTCTGAAGTTATATGGACCACCTACAAAAATGTTGCATAATCCTCATCAAAATGATATTCAAAATAGCTTTTAACATAATAGTGCCAACTTTCACAATGTTTTGTTCAGAGTGGAAACAGTTCTTTCATAATAAGAAAATATTTAACCTTTTCTGCTAATTGTTTGACAATCTCTTTCGTTGGTAAAGTTTTCAGAATAATGACAACTTCAGCTACGTTGTTGCCTTTTGTCATTGTTCCTTTCTTGAAGTCTCCGACCTATGAAAGAATAAAATAATGAGCTATGGCTGAAAAGCAATACACCATATTTCTTCGCATACATGCAAGTGGGACAATTTTACCAAAAGTGGAAAAAGACAGTTTTTAAACAAACATCACTCTTTTGAACAGAACCATTGATTTGATAAAGTACTTCTTTTTTATTTTCTATCTCAGAAAGCATGGGTGAATTCTGAAATTTAAATAATCGAATCCCCCCTGTTAAACCATGATCGGTGAAACAAGATATCTACCTTGTTTTCCCCGAAAATAAGACCTAGCCAACTTTTTTAAATGACTTTAGTATAAGCCCTCCCTCTAAACTAACACCTAGTCGATGGCGCAATTTTTTTTGAGTCGATAGCAAGATATCTCTACCACATGTTTTAAATGATTAATCTATGTTTTGTATATTTGAAAATCTTGTAATTCTCTACTTCGTAATTTTGTTTCTGATAGATGAAAGTAAAATACATCTCCCCAAATAAGTCCTATTGTTATTTTTCGAAAGAAAATTAAAATAATACCCTGTTTTATTTTCGTGGAAACACGATAGTAGCTCAAGTACTAAACAAAACTTACTTGTCTGCATTCATCAACTTGAATATCAAACCCAGCAGGCTGTGATACAATGATGGAATCGACTGCATTGCATATTTTAGTCACGAACGACAGTATTGACGCTTGCTCTTCCTAAGTCACGTTCAAGTCTTGGTTTCGTTTTATTAGAGCCTGTAGGAAAGTGAGTTAAAAATAATTACTGTTTGAAATATGATAGATATCAAATTTTTGATAAAACAGGCTTTCAAAATAGAAATTCCTGTATTGGAAAATTAAAATAGTGGAAATAACAAAAACAAAGCGATTCGGAAATGTTATAAGTATTAGTTGGAAAAAATGTTGAATTAGACTCCCCCATATCAAAGAAAAAACAGAAGCATTTCATGATAAAAAAATATTCATATATTAAAACTGAGGAAGAATGAAACGAGTTATTTGATTTAATAAAACAAACAGTCCACAAGTCTCAGAGACCAGGGGCGTATGGCACGACGGCAGATGCGTCTTATCGCACCATGTTCGTCTCGATAACAATCTGAATCAGGGCATTTAGATTAGTGCAACCTAATTATACTATATTTTTACCGATATTGATGAAAAACGATCTCCCGACATCCCCGAAAAGAGGGTGTTTGCTCATCAACAGAATGGAATTCTTTAAAGCGAGACAATGACTCTCGATCTGTAAAGTGTGCCGTACTGACCTGGGTAAAAGCTTCGTCATCAAGTGCTGGCTTCACTCTTGGGAAAGCTTGTTCAACATCACAAAATCAAATGGAATGTGAGGCACAAACACTCTGTTTGTTCCTCGACCTTTCATTTTGATGTTTTGTCAAGTTAATTTAGAAAATTTTATATTTAAATTCCTAGACTTTTCAAATTTGAAATCATAGAATTGAGAAAAAATCATGAAATTGTATGACCGGCACTGGTACCGGTAGATAGATAATGATTTATCAAAGCTAATGTATTGGACTCTGGAACCAAGTACAGGAATAACAGAATACCGTAAATTACGGTATACACAAATTCAATAGGGTAGAATTCTTGAAAGCTACCGTATCGGTACTCTGGTGGCTACTGTTAGCAAAACCCCTAGCCTATCTCATTCGAGAGTGAGAAATTAATTTTTCAATAGACGCCTAATTACGCCTTTAGTTCACGTAATGGTCTGCACCTGAGCGGCCACTGATAACTTTTTATTTTTATTATTAGTTTTCAAATTAGATCAAGATTATTAATCATTTTTTAGAATTTTGAATATCATGGTTTTAATTACCACCATTTCAAAAAGTCATATTGTATATACGAATTATAAAATCATACAATACCAGTTTATCAATCACATATATATACATAATACATCCATGTCCATTTGAAGTTCAGTATAGTTGATCTGTGTCATTTTATTAATTTATAATTATATTACCATCAAGTAATTAATTTGCATGGAAAAATAAATGTTTTCAATAAATTAGATAGGAATAAGAAAAACTTCCATACCATGATTATAGGGTTTTTTCTACTTTCTATCCATGTTGATGATATACAATAAATACGGTAGATGCCTTCGAAATTTAAATGAAATAACACTATATACATATTTAAAGCATAACAGATTTATCAAATAATACATCAATAGTTTCATCGCTTTTTATTTTCAATTTTGTTCCTTCTCCCATATATTTGATGGCAGCTTTCAGCTTGCATTTGAAAATTGTTCGCATGGTTGATTGGTAAGTTTGCCCTTCTTCAAATATAATATAATTTCGAAAATCCCATATTGCCCCTTTTGCACACGCAATGATCAGTCCTAATATTGGTTTTACATTTTGTAGGAAAATTATATTTTTAATATTGTACTGGGGAGGTGCAATGTTACACCATTCCCAGAATTGTCTAACATAAACGCATGCAAAAAATAAATGTTTACAAGTTTCTACAATGTTGTTGTTACACAGCTGACAGTACCCATCATCACCATCTACCCAATGCCTTATTTATCCCTGTTTGCAATGCCATATGTGCTATTTTTCCATCCTAAAATTTGTAACTTTTTGGGAATATAAATAATTTCCAGATATCTATCCATTTTATATCGTCTACAGGTATATTATACCTCTGACCAATATGAAATACTTTCTTATTAATAAAATTATCATGCCAGTATTTTTTTTTCATACATTATATGCAATTCTTTTGTTGTAGGAATTTCTTCAAAATCAGAAGGGTTAAGAATATCATATTCTACACTATCATGAGAATCTGGTTGCAATAATAACAATTTCCATTCTATTGGTAACACCTCTACTATATACATTATGACATCTGAAATTCTTCTCTCATACATTTTTTTACTATTAATAGACATTGAGTTCCATTTAGCATGACCAATAACACTAGCTGCAATATTAACACAGTTTCTTTGAAAAATGTCTCTAATAACTAACTTTAGCGACAAGCGCGGAGCAAACGAGAGAGCGAGACAACGGGAAGTCATCCAGTGAAAAAATAAATAAATGTACAGAAATTATGACAACATTTTTTTTTATTCATTTACTAATATAATTCTCGAATAGGATTATTGCTTCGGCTAATTTTTTGCAGTATATATATATTACATAACGTCAAGATTTTACATAGCGAACGTTTCGTGATATTTTTCAAATGTGGCAACTTAATGCAGAAGTTGATCACGTGTGCGTAGCTAATCGACAGTCATACCATTGATATCTTAACAATGGATCAAAATGACCATTGTTATGCTGCAGATACGCTTGACAGATCTTCTGTTCCGCCGCATTTCTTGTCGGCGAATGCATGGGAATTAATGGGTGAAGAGACAACCATACTATGTAAAAATCTAATGTTTTGAAGCACGATACGTTGGATATTTGGTAGTAATGAAACGTTTGTAACTTCAGCTCAATGATTTAGCTCAGTGTTGTTCAACCTTTTTTACCTTTCACAATTTTTCAGGAACTTTGTATACCTTACAAATACCAATGTTCATTCAATACCTAAATAAACATTAAATTTTAAGCACAGATTGTACTGCAATATCATCATGCAATCTAATAAGCTGGTGTCCGCACGATATAAACGTTGTAATTTGACTGTCTTGCCTTAGCGTGAACGGGAATATTGCTCAATGCAAATCAAGCAACATGCACGACAGCCAAAATCACCAACCCAGACACGTGCCCATTATCTATATAATTTGTGACGTACAATGTGCTTGAGTCGGTTATTTGCGTAAATACCTTTTTATATTTCATGTGCGCCTTGTTGTCTCCACTTGAACATTTTATAAACTATTATATTACAGTTTAGAATCCCTGACTTAGGCTGTATACCAGGGGTTCCCAAACCAGGGGTCGCGACCCCAAATTGGGTCGGAGTGATAAGTAGGTGGGGTCGCAAACAGGTCATGGGGTCAGTGGGGTCGCTGAGGTATGGTGGAGGATGAATGTACAAAACATCTAAGATTTGATGAATCATGTTAAATTTAGCAGCTTGTACCATGGCTTGCTGTAAAACAGGCCCATAGGCATCGCTCTATGCTTATGCTATAGAAAATGTAGGTGCTTATTGCGACATCACTGTTTGGTTTTAGCCTATTTTATTTAATATCACCACATGACCAACCTCAAAAGTCCAGTGAAAGAAGCTCCAAAGTTTCATGAAAAATATATATACGGTATTGACCTGGGGTCGCACTGGACACATGAAAGATGTTATGGGGTCGTTCTAAAAAAAGCTTGGGTAGGTGATCGTAAAACCCGATTGATTCTTAGAGGATGGATTCCCCTATAATTTCCGTGTATAAGTATATTAAGTATAAGTTTATTTCGACTCCATAATCAGCATAACAATACATTTGACAGATAAAAACAAATAAATAAAAACTGATTACGAAATCAGGGGAGCAAACAAAACCTTAGATAAGGTTTATAACGTACAAAATATAAGATGGAAGGTTTTGCCAAGAGGAAGTGGTACGTGTTTACTCACCTAAAATTATTGAGTTATTTCACACACGCTCACATGCACCCACCAGCCACACACACACACAACCACTGAGAAGGTATTTAAGTAAGAATAAAACGCTATAAATTTAGGGTATACTATACAGTAAACAAAAAAAAAATAAATAAATACTAGAAAAGAAAATTATCTGCCACACCATATTGATATTTTTGTAATGGTTGCCATTGCCAAATTGATCGATCTTCTAATCGTTAATTAAGATATAAAAGGAAGATTCTATTGAAAACATATTGCCAAGCTGATTATAGTTGGAGTCAAATGCCAAGTTGCCCAACTAAAGTTGCCAGAATTGGGTGCATGAAGTGGAGGGCGAGACCATTTCATTCCCCAAATTAGAGCCTATTATTGCCAAATTATAGTCCAGATTGTAATAAGTAATTAAAGTTACCGGTAACAGTAAAATTACTATAATTAAGTGTAAAGTAGGATGTGGAAATAAATTGGTTACAAAGGGTGTAGGTTTTTCATTCTTGGGTATTGATTTCAGACAAGGATATAGGAATAAGGTTGTTATTTCACAGGATATCGGAGTCTTTTTTTGATTTTTTCCTTATGTGTTTTACTTCATTTAATCACTTTGAAGTAACCTGAAAAACAAAAAATAAAACCGCGAGTAGATGTTTCAATGATTGGGTGAAGGGGAATGCTCTGAACTATTTATTACAGGCAAAAAATAATTGTTTAATTAAATGGGATGTATTGTCATTATATAGCGATGGATAGATGATCTATGATGACATTCTGCTTGGGACAGAGAAAAATTTATCACACCATGCAAAAAACACACAAAATTTTACGATCTATACCTTGGCCAACAAGTCAACTCAAACACCATGCCTTAACATAAAACGCATGCATACATAAATGATATAAAAACCACATCCAATTACAATGACCCACAGCAAATTAAAATCTGAAGGGGAGAATCCAACATAGCTCTACTGCTCGCCTAGTTGCAATAATTAGTCACCTTGCAGGAACAATATTGTACTATCTACAACCCTTATACACCACTCAAACATAAGACCAAGCGTGTATGATAAGGACATCACAGCTAGAAAAAGATAAAAACACGAGCGTGAAGTGATAGAATGTGTGCAGTTATTTAAAGAAAATATCATCCGGTACGTTAGCTACCTATATATTTAAAAAATATATATATACTCATGCATGTCACAATACCATTTCTTTGGTGCTGGACTAGTTCTGGCCAAGTCGTGGCAAGATATAATATATTATTATAGCTGTTCAACATTTTCATTAAAACAATAATGTGCAAGTGTGGAGTGTCCCAAGTTTTTGTCATCGAATACCACCAGTAGTAATTTTTAATATTTGGAAACTAAATGAGACTTGACTTGTTTTTGAAAAGATTTTTTGGACTTTAACGTCTTCAAATTTAAGGGAAGAGAATTCCAAAGTTTGGGTCCAGTAAAAGACAAGGAATGCTGACTCACGGATTTACTCATGAAAGGTACGAATAAATCAGAACTACTTCTTCGGTTGGAGGTATTTTTGACAAGTATGTCATTAAAGCAATTGGGCAGCGCATTATTATGGAAGTCGTGAGCTAGAGATAATATTTCAAATTTCATCATATCTTCAACCTTAAGTATATTTAGTGATTTGAAGTAAGAGTCTACACTTTCACGTTTTTTTTACCAAAAACTATTCTTAAAAAATTATTACAAATACTCTGCAGTTTTGAGACAAGTGTTTTATTACCATGAAGCCAGACTGAACAACAATATCGAATATGGCTAAGTAGTAATGATTGAAACATTGCTAGTAGAGCTGATTGATCAACACACTGGGATACTTTGGCAGAAACTGCTAGGTTTTTTTTTGTTTTACCAATAACATGCATTATTTGTGATTTCCATGACAGATTTTCATCAAAGATAACTCCTAGAAATTTTATTTCTTTCACTCTTTCAATTTCATTGCCATTGAGCAGTAGTTTTTTTGAACAACTCACACTTTTATGCTTGCTTGGATGGAATAATACAAATTTAGTTTTGTTAGCATTCAGAGATAATTTATTAACTAACATCCAGCTATGAATGTTGGTTAGTTCTTGGTTTGCAACTGTGAATAGATCTTCAAGGTTTTCCCCATGAAGAATCAAGTTAGTGTCATCAGCAAACATGATCGACTCAAAGGAAGGCTTGCGGAATAATTATCTTAAAGGTGGGTTATCACGCAAACATTTTTGAAGCAAATTTGATTCTATATAATTTATTAAGATTTTTGGCGTTTACCGTTTGCATAAAACGGACTTCGTTTACGAGACTCGAATTTTTAAAAGTCGACCCTGCCGAAATCGAACGCAAATTAGTATGTCCCGTTGATGACGTAGTGGTGAGAACTCGTCGGCGAAACTTTGCATTAGGTCAGAGGCAATTAAAGCATTCTGTGTACTTATTTTGAACCGTGTGCTAGTTCTATTGAGCGGTGCATTCGGAGGAAGCTTTTGTGATTTAAATCAATATCTTTAAATAATATTATTGCATTATGAGAAATTACAGTAAACTCAACTAATCGAAGTCAAGACGTACTCGAGTTCTGTGCCAGACCTTTTGCTGCAATATATTTTCTAGTGAAAAAGCGCATACCAGGCCATTTTTTTGTCTCAAATGATCTAGATTTTATAATTGATGTGTGTTTGTTTACTCTGTTTATCTGATCCTATAACTAGTCTTTTTGTTATATTATCGTTATATATAGACTATCTGACTATACCGGAATATGCGCAAACACTACCGTAACGTATGGAATGTGTAATTGGTGGTTACAGCAGATTTCACTGTGATGGATCTGTCTCGAAGCAGGAAACAATGAGAAAACTATGGATAAAATTTTCGCAAGCAACCTTTTCTGATGTCTCTCCACGGAACTAAAGTCGAAGGATGGTTTCAGCCTCAAAATTATGTTGGAATCCATGCAAACTCCTACCCACAGCCCGAAACAACAATATCTCACACAGTTATTCAAATCAGTTTTTATTTATTTTTATTATTTTATTACAAGTTTTCATCATATGTAATTCATTCATGCCAATAAATGTGTTGTCACGAATCTCCATTAGTTGATCGATAACAGCTGGACTGTGTTGTTAATAGCAGTGTGCACTGGAAAACAAAGTACAGTTAAACTTCGATACTATGCCACCCTTTGGGACTGAGAGAGAGTGGCATAGTAGAGAGGGTGTGTTATGAAAGATAACAGGATACCGATTCTAGGCTTTATTAAACATAAGAACACCACTACCACAACTTAACACTGTAAACAATAGAATAACACGCAAACAGTAAAGTATGCAGTACGACAGAACCAGAGCAATCAAGAGTACATTGATTATCTAATAATTACACTGTAAAGAAATACTAACACCACAATTTCCCCCTCCTAAAAGATTATTTAACAAAAGTTTAATAAACATTTCACTCATAGTAATGTAAACGATCAATTGGACGTTTTTCTCTAGTAGAACGCCTAGGAGCCGGGTGTCTATCTTCTTCATTGGGGATGTTTCGCGTTTTTCATCATCACCAGGAATATTTGACTTTTCTTCCCCTTCTTGAATTTCTGATTGGTTGATAACGGGATGCGATATTTTTGGTACATAGTCGGAATCTGCTGTATCAGCCTGCTTTACAGGTAATTGAGAATGTTGATTATCGGAGGAACTTCCATTATTTTCACTTCCAAACGACGTACCATCACCACACGGTGCAAGATGCTTTGTTGATACTGTTGAGGTTTTACCATCTGAATACCGAATATGAGCGTAATGTCTGTTCGCATCTAGAAGTTCCACTTCATCGACGTATGGATCAGATTTGTTTCTTCTAATCTGTCTCTTGAGAAGAACAATTTTAGAATTTGTCAGCCACGTTGGAACGGCATATCCTGTGGTAGATCTTCTTGCAAAATTGAACAACCGTTCATGTGGTGTTGCAGTACACAATAGTGATCTGATGGAATGCAAAACATCTAATAGAACGTCTTGCCAACATTCAATTGGCAAACCTTTTGACATTAAAGCAAGTTTTATTCCTTTCCAAATTGTACCATTGCACCTTTCTACTTGACCATTCGCCGAAGGATTGTAAGGAGTTGTTCTACTGTGAGACACACCCTTTTCTTGCAAAAATCTTTTAAACTCACAACTCATGAAAGCCGAACCACGATCAGTATGCATGTAAGCAGGCATTCCAAATACAGCGAACAATGGAGTTAGACTTTTTATGACACTGGCGGCCGAAACATCAGGTGTTGGAATAGCAAGGGAAATCGTGAAAACTCGTCAATTACGCAGAGAAAATATTTGTTGCGATTGTTCGACGGAAGAGGTCCCTTGAAGTCAATACTTAAACGTTCAAAGGGCTGAGTCGCTTTTACAAGAGTTCCTGCTTCAGGCCGATAGTATTTAGGTTTTATCTCTCTGCATACACGGCAATTCAAGACAGTTCGCTTAACGTCTTCAGTCGAATAAGGTAAAATTACGGACCTTAACAAAATGAGCGAATCTAGATATACCTGGATGGCATAATGCATCATGTAATTTAGTGAGGATATTAGTAGAAGGAAGAGCGCATGAAATCCTCGATAGAGTGTCTGGTGCAACATTGTCTTTGCCTGGTTTGTATGCGATATCGAAAGAGTAACCGGATAGCTCAATTCTCCATCTTGTTATTTTTTCATTTTTGATTTTACCTTTGTGGCGCAAATCAAACATGTAAGAGACACTTTTCTGATCTGTTTTCATGATGAAACGTCTTCCTGTTAAAAAGTGACGCCAATGTCGTACTGCTTCAACTATGGCCATAGCTTCTTTTTCGACCGAAGGGTGTTTAAGTTCAGAGCCGTGTAATGTACGTGAAAAAAATGCCACGGGACGACCAGATTGATTTAGTGTCGCTGCTATAGCAATATCTGAAGCATCAGTTTCCAATTCAAATGGAATATTTTCATCAACGGCAATGAGAACAGCATTTTCTATTAACTGTTTTAGTTCATAAAAAGCTCCAATAGCAGTGTCAGTAAGAGGAAAAGAGGTCGATTTTGTTAATGATCTGATTCTATTTGAGAAGTTTGGAATCCATCTAGAATAGTATGAAAAGAATCCCATGCATCTGCTCAATTCTTTAGAATTTGATGGTATTGGAAGTTGGCGTAAAGGTTTTAATCTTTCGGGATCTGGACGAATTTCACCTTCAGCAATTTGATAACCTAAAATCGGCAATGTTCGAGTAGTCCATATACTTTTTGATTCATGAAAAATCAATCCTCGTTGTTTTGCAGATTCCAGGAAAGCAGCCAGGTTTTTGTCGTGATCCTCTTTAGTCATTCCACAAATAGTTATGTTATCCAAATATGGAAAAACTCCTCGCAGTTGTTCTTCTTTCACGAGCTGCTTCATTATCCGCTGAAAACAAGAGACCCCGTTTGTGATTCCGAAATGCAGCCTTGTGAATTGGTATAAATTTCCCTCGGCTTCAAACGCGGTAAACTCTCTGTCTTGGTGTTTCAGTGGAACTTGATGATAAGCGCTAGTGAGATCAACAGTACTAAAAACTCGATATTGTGCGATTTCATTCACTAGCTCTGAAATGTTTGGCAATGGAAAAGCGTCCAATAAAGTGAACTTGTTAATAGTTTGCGAGTAATCAATTGCCAAACGTTTCTTTCGATTTTCTGCTTTAACCACAACGACTTGAGCTCTCCATGGCGAAAGGCATGTTTCGATAATTCCTTCTCGCTGAAGTCTTGCTACTTCGTCTCGAATGAATAATCTATCTTCGTGTGAATATCTTCTCGATTTAGTGGCGATTGGATGAGAGTCCGCAGTTAAATGTTTGAATGGTTCAGGTGGGGTTATTTTCAATGACGAGAAACCACAAATTGATAATTCAGGTTTTTTACCACCGTAGTGAAATCTTACACTTTTATGCGGGGTTTGGAAATTGAGTCCGAGGATCATATCAGCGCATAAGCTGTCGATAACACCAAACTCAACTCCGCAATATTTATGATTATTATAGTATAAATCCATTTCAGTACATCCAAGAACTTCTACTGAACATTTAGACGATGCCATGGAAATGACATTCTTTGTCGGACGAACGTTGAGCCTAAGAGATTTTACCAGCCTTGGGTGAATATAATTTTCCGTACTACCACTGTCGAACAAAGCTCGTACTTTTCGTTGACCGACTTCTACCAAGGCTGTGGCTTGTCGTAATGTAGACGGAACGTATAATGTTGAATGTGGTATCATTGCTGAAATGTCAATGCGACTGCTGGAGTCATTGTTCGAAATAGTTCTTCCGCGACAGACCTTTGCAAAATGTCCTTTCTTTTGACACTTGAAACAGACTACTTCCCGAGCTGTGCATTTCGATCGTGGGTGTCTACTATTACCACAGAAAAAGCATTTACTTCTAATAGTCATCGCTGCATTATCTGGCACCGATCCAACATCGAAATTGTTAGATTGTATCGTTGAAGGTGCTGCTCCGACGGAAGCGTTTTCGTTTATAGCATAAGATTGTGAATTTCGAACGGCAGTTTCCAATGATTTGGCTTGATCAACCATTTCGTCCAGTGTCAATTTCCTATTCTCCAGCAGTCGTTGGCGTATCCAGCTGGAATTCAAGCCACGTATAAAAGAGTCCCGAATATATTCATTCTGGTATTCCTTAGCAGATACGTTCTGAAAGTTACAATCTTTGCTCAATTCTGTCAATGCTCTTAAATATTCAGCAACTGACTCAGAAATTTGTTGGGATCGCGTGGCAACATATGACGTGCATATATTTCATTCTTTGGCTGTACAAAAATCCCTTTCAGCGTATCTATGGCCCTCATTATAAGTTGTGATATTTCTAATATATCTATAGGTTCTCGGAGACACATAGTTTGTTAATACTCTCAATTTATCCAGTCCTTCAGTGGGTAAAGCTTCCAAGAAATTTTCGAATGTCTTTTGCCAATGCAGCCATTCGCATTCCGCGTCACATGTATCAGGATCTGTGTCTAGTTTCTCAGGCTTTAAAACTTTATCCATTGTGGTTGGTTCGTTAAGTTATGTTTAATAAATTGTTATGAAAGATAACAGGATACCGATTCTAGGCTTTATTAAACATAAGAACACCACTACCACAACTTAACACTGTAAACAATAGAATAACACGCAAACAGTAAAGTATGCAGTACGACAGAACCAGAGCAATCAAGAGTACATTGATTATCTAATAATTACACTGTAAAGAAATACTAACACCCACAGGGTGACATGGTAGCAAGGATTTGTAAAAACAGCCTTCGGATGCGACAATGTAATGCTAAGTTGTGTTGTGCAATTGTATTTTACATGTATTACAGTATAAAGTACAGTACAGTGCAGTAGTTTTCGAGTTTTTTCAGATTCAGAAATTTGCCCACAATGTCAATTCAAAAGCATTGATACTGCAAAAAAAAACCGAATCAGTCCAAGCTGGCCAGAGAAATGAGCAAGAAATGGGGCATCGAAATTAAGAGAACCACAGAGAATGGAATTATCTGCAAGAAGGATGCAATCGAGGCAGCTATCAAAGCTGGAGTTCCATCGAAACGCATGAGGCTGAAGCCGTCTCACCACTCAAAGCTTGATGACGGGGTGCTCATGTGGCTAAAGCAAGCAAGAAGACAGAATCTGCCTGTCGGCGGCGATCTGATAAAGAAGAAGGCTTTAACCGCTTGAACCCGGCAAGCCGGTTTACCGGCTTGTTTGAGTACGCTCTGTGCCCCGGCAAGCCGGTTTACCGGCTTGTTTTTCGTGTCGGAGGGAATCAACTTTATGATCTCGGATCTCAAGAACCACAATGAGTATTTAAATAAATTTTATATTGCATGAAAGCTTGTTATTGGAACTAATTATATTGTGATGATCGGTGCTCTAATATACGATGTTTCAGTAAAATTGGCAATTTGAAAGTGCGTATGAAATTATTGTATGATAACAAATATTTAATATAAAGAATTTCGACTTCTAGCCTAGATAGCCACATATTCAATCGGCAATATATGTGGAGAATTTGAATAGCTTTTTATATACGTATCCAAAACGATTTTACGATGAGCCATTCAAATTTTATGACCAAATATATTAGATTATCTGTAGATTTAACAGCGACGCTGCGTCAAATTGATGTTCTCATTGAAGAGAGGCAACGTCTCGTCACGCACAACTTTACGCATATTACGCAAATGCAACTAAACGTGACGATATCCGCAATAAGGTTACGTCGAGATGTTATTATTTAAATGTCCGCAGGAAGTAATTAATTAACCCGATGCTACGCATTCAAAATTCGCACTACGCTTTGACTTTGACTGCCCGCTCAAGCCCAATTAAGTTGTGGTTACGTATACGCAATATGAACAAGATTGTGATTTTATTAGCGGATAACGGAACAATAAAGACCATGAAAAATGTATGTACATAAAAGACTGCTTGCTAAAAATTTTAAATTGAATATTGCACTTTGTTGTGCCCGGAACAATGAAGAACATGAAAATATTAGGCAGACTAAATCCAATATTGCACTTTGTTGTGCCAGTTATACCAATGGTTGTTGGTTTCGTTACCTATACATAGGTACTCATTACAGTATTTGTACTTATATACTGTCTCGCATCGTTTCAGCAACGCTATGTCTTTAGCAGCTGGATTGTTTTTTTGGCAATAATGTAAATTTTGTTGCATACGACGCATCTATTATTAGAACTGGCGTTTTGCGGTGGGGTATCTAGTTCTGGCGACGCATATGATCTTGTTGGAATAAGAGTTGCTCTTTCTGCATTATTAGTGCTCTCAGATATTATTCCATCCACTTGCTTCGCCTAACATTCGTAAAATCAGATATTTTGATCTGCAGAGCAGGCAAGTACTTATTTTGGTTGATATTTGAACAAATACTCATGGGCGAATAAAACATTTTCCACGTGAAATTTTATATGACGATATTAACTTCACTTCGCTATTACTGCACGCATTACTCGACGTCGGTACTTCAATCCATACAGGGTTAATATCATATCGAAACTCGGCGACCGATGTCCCGCTGAGGACGTCGTCGTGAAAGTTATCTTGCGCATTTTGCCACGCAATACGTTTCGAACGTACTTATCAACATCTTCATGACGGTAGTCACGTGATCGTCTTTTGCGTAGCTGCGTAATCAGTGCGTCATGGCCGCTTATCGATGTTGTTCACCCGACACAATGATACACAATTAAATATTTAAATATAAAATTGGTTATATGGCACCCACAATAGTAATTCGAATATCAACAAAAAGCTTATAAAAAATCCTTTATGAACATCAAATATTGGCAGTATATTTCGTACCAAACTAACAAAATTTCAAGCCAAAACTCACATACATGCAGAAAAATGACTGTTGGATTAGGGTCAATTTTATTAATTTTGACAAAATGTATTTCAAAATGGAAAATACATTCTGAATGCACGATAAAATTTCCTTTCGATTGAAATGTCTCATAACGTGCTACCTATAATTGGTAAAAAGTTACAAGCGTGCCAAATAGCCAGTATTTAGACTTATTTTATTGTTCTACCAATACGGCGCCGCGAACCTTCAGGGTGAGCGAGTAACTTCGCTCAGAGCCGTCAGAGTTCAAAGAGTTAAAACTGGCCGAACTGATGCACATTCCAAACTTCATGGCGAGCAACGGTTGGCTGGACAATTTTAAAAAGCGCCAAAGAATCACGTTCAAGACAGTGCAGGGCGAAGCTGGAGCGGTGGATTCGCAACACTTCTTGAGTGGCAACAACAGGTTCTCCAGCCCTTACTCGGGCAGTTCTCCGCAGACGACGTATTCAACCTGGACGAGACTGAACTCTTCTGGCGTTTGCTTCCAAACAAGACCATGAGTTTCAGGAGGAGAACAGTGCACTGGAGAGAAGAAATCACTCTTCAGGTGGGGGCAAATATGAGCGGCAGTGAGAAATTCCCTCTTCTGGCAATCGGCAGTTCCCAGAAACCTCGTGCCTCCAGGAACAAAGAGATTCCCGTTAAGTACAAGGCAAACTCGAAAGCATGGATGATGGCGAAGCTTTCCGAACAGGTGTTGCGTGAGTGGAACCAATGACATTAAACAACATGATAGGCAACTCTGACGTCACTCCATAAGACTACACGCGAAAGATTGTATTTCATGATACGCTCCAATGCACATATTTCTCGTCGCCTTTCGCGACAGTTTTCCGATTGCTTTTGCTACTCGGCGTCTTCTTTACGTGTAGTACCTGCCTTTTTGCGCCTGTAACGAAAGAAAATAATCTCTATATCTGAGAAGTTTTGCTCATTTGGAAAGCTGGAATGGCAGACAAGCTGTAAAGAGTAATTCTGAACATCATAGACGTTTTTTTTTATCAGAGAATATTACAAACGCGATAGCGTAAAGATTTGTGTGAAACATTTTGCAGATAATGACAAAGTTCAAAGTTAGTAATTTTAATGTTTGCGCTTAAACATTGAAATTTCATTTAAAGAGGTGTCATACAAAACAGCAAAACTGTTTTTACTTCTCTTAAAGGTGCTGTGATACAATTCCATAACACAAAGTTTGCACCTATCGAACTTGTTTTAGTAGGTGAATTTATTAGACATATTACATATTCAGTTAATCGTAGGTAACATTGCTGGTACATAATGCCTCGTAGATAGGTTTGTGTCTAAATTTAGGAATTTAGCTCATAGCCCGCTAATTAATATTATCTTCTATGCAGGAGATTGCAGGGCTGATTCAACTTGCAGCCTTACCGATCACCTGACGATGCTCATTTAGTTTTGTCTCGAGCAAGTCTTCTTGAAAGACTTGTGTGAATGGAAACTACCTATATGTTTTGCCTTCCTCCGATTTTAGAAGACAAATTTATCTGAGGATTTGCATATAATTCTCATTGATTGTTGGCTGTTTATAATTCCTATTAAATGTGAATTCTGATTATATCAAAGAGTTAAACATTTTTTACGTAATTTACGGGCACTTTTTCTTGTCAATACTCCAAGCTGAGGTAATAAGCAAGACAATACATTTATGTCATCTGAAGCAAAATATACACACTAATTAAAAGTTTGACACATTGAGATAATACATCATGACAGAAAATACAAAGATACAGTATGTATGACCATCACATGGTAATTAAAATTAAAAAAAAATTAATAGAGGCTGTGGAGTATGAAAAGTTCAAGACAAAGAAAAGAACAAAAGTTCATAGCTCATGAACTCTCAATTCTGCCTCCATTGCTTTGTGAAGGCCAATATATTCCGAGTGGCTGAATTGGTTTACCTTTATGATAGCAACGGTTTTGTATTTAATATAGCGAGATTTTTTTTCAATTTAATTGAAGTGATATTATTTCCCAAAGCAATGCTTGAATCGTCTAGAATAGATCAGTGGTGTCAAACTCATGGGTTTCGAGAGCCGCATTGCATGTTGGAAATTGTAAAAAGGGCCGCAAACAGTTTTTGATAATGTATACTGAGATATTTTTCAGATAGTTTTAGTTTGTGACATATATTGTGATGCAACTAATCAGTTGGATTAAGTTTTATTATTTTCTTTAATTTCAAATGCAATTACATATTAATATTTGCATTCCACTATTATTGCAAGTTACTGTTAATCATAAAATTCCATGTACAACCATCAAAATCATTTTTGAACAAGCTTGGTTAAGGAAAGAATAATATATACACTAAAAATGACTTAATCTAAATATATGAACCTAAAATTAACAAAAATACTACAGTATAAACTCAATGTTTTTTTAATTACATTTGTCCTGACGTTTGGCATCTTCTTTGTGTCACCAGCATACTAAGGCCAGGCTGAAATGATTTTATAGTACCAACTCTAACTAACGAGGTCACATGATCATGGGTTAATCTGTATCTTTGCAAAAGTTTAATTAATTCCAGTAATGCAAAAAAGTTACTTTTATCATTTCATGTATAGATCAGTAAAAAAACAAATGACAGATTTTTTCGACAAGACATTTCACGCTACATTGCATGGCATAGGATTGCTTGAATTATTATTGATATTGATTTTTAGTAACTAAGTCGTTGTATATTTATATTAATATACAAACACATGGAAATTTTCTGTTCGGAGTTGGTCTTCGAATTTGTCATATTGACTGCTGAGCTTATTGTGTTTTTCATTGTACTGATGGAAATATGACAAATTAAACAATGTGCTTCAGAATTTTGTGAAATGCAGAAATATTGCAACTCCCATTTTCTTCGAAAATGCCACCTTCTTCGTGTACTTTAATTTAATCACTCAAGTGTTTTATTCAGTATTCTTTTGCTAGCTTGATGTGTATTCTTAATTGAGTCAAAATGTGAACAAAAAAAATTAACTTTCTAAAACTACTTTCAGTAAATTGTTTTCTGTGTGAATATTCAATTTCACTTTAAAAGGTTTGAAAAATCTTTTACATTTAAATAAAAAAAATTCCAAAATACTATTACAATTATTGTTAAGCGTTCGAGGGCCGCACTGGAAGTTCTCTGGGGCCGCGAGTTTGACATCCTTGGTCTAGATTGAAGTTGTCCAAAATATATAACATTATTTTATCATGAATCATGATTATACCCTTTCCTGAATTTCTTCTATAGTACTACCAAAATTTGATGAACCAAATATAACACAGGTGTAGTCAGTGAACCGTAATCCTCATTTTTCAAAGCTGTTTTAAGTATGTCTGGCTTTTGTGCCTTTTTACAAAGAAGACCGCTTATGCAATCTTACGCTTTGGAATTTTTAGTTATTTCCTCAAGCCCTGCAGGATGTAGGGGCCATACACAACTTTACCGGAGGGTCAAATGTCTTTGCATTCCTCCATAGGTTGTTCTTCTATTGCAAACATTTATGGAGTATTCTAATCATATTTCTTGGAATCAAACTGTCACTGATATGTCGCCAGACTTCTGATATCCCCCTTCAGCTACAGTTGTCCTGTGAATAAATAATAGGAAATTGAGGTTAGACGAATAGTTGAAAGTTTTGTTTTATGTCGGCCTAATTTCTTGATTGATATACTACTATTTTGCTATTGCCTCTTGTGCTGCAGGAGTCTCACAATGCTTAGACAGGTCTGTCCACAACTTTCACATCTGTAGGAGAGGAGATGTATTAATTTTCGTTAAGAATAAATAAAGCAGTCTATATGATTCAGAATGGAAAAGCTAATAAATCCAATATCTTATGTTTTTTGTAAAAAATGTTTTACTGAATTTGGTATATAAACCAACTAATAAAGGGGTTTAGTCAGAAAATTATAAGCATTCGTGGCTCCAAATACTTGAGAGATCAGACTATACAATATAGACCGGTATGAGTGAAATTTAGGTGAACTTGTTAACCCTTTGATTCAATACGCAAATAAAAGTGAATGAGCAATAGTATGTTACAGCAATAAGTATATATCCTCACTGATTAAAAAAATCTAAATGGAGGTGCAAACTATTTGAAACCATAAGGGGTAAGTAAATATGCAATTTCGGCAAATGGGCAACTACGTACCGTACTGAATTAATAACTTCGTAGTATTTGACAAAAGCTGGCTTTCCGCATGTACTTAACAGTGCGATGCCCGGGTGTGATATACAACAATAGTATTTACCTTACTTTTTTCCGATTTATTTTTACCTTCAATTTTCCACATATCATTAAAAACCACAACAATTGTCGAAGCAGGCTCGAACACCATTCGTGCTATGCCTTGAAAGCAACACACATCCGCTCGTTTTCGTCTCGTCAAGTATGTGCATTGGAGCGTGCTATCGAATACGATCTTCGGCCAAAAATGCCGGAGTTGCGCATCATGTTGTTTAATGTCATTGGTGGAACAGACGACTTGGCCAGCAGGGACGCAAAGTGCTGCTCTGTCTTGATAACTTCTCTGGTCATCCAGAGATCAAGCTGGAAAACATTAAGGGTGGAGATCAAAAAGGTAGTTTAACCTCGAATCGGAATTTAACTTTGAATCGGCGGTTTAAGTCCGGATCAAAAAGGTGGTTTAACTTTCTGTGACGTAAATCTCGACTTAAAATCGGCGCTTATTTAAACCTGGTCTGGAGGTGGTTTAACTCGGTTTGTCGAGTGCTTTTGGATTGCGGCGCTTGTCGTGTTGGATGGCTTACCTTACCGTACAATCTATATTGTATTCAGTGGCGACAGAATGTGTAGCAGGGAACTCTGTGCAAGCGTCACGACGAAAAAATAATTGTATATTGGTACTACGAGGCTGCGATATGCAGCATTTGCGGTGGTACCGGTACCGTAACTGCTGTAGACTGCGACTGTACTGGTACCGGTACCGTACAGTCGGTACGTACTACTGTACTATAGCCGAACAAAATTTTTTACAACGTGGAATTGGGCTATACTACTATAACAAAACCAGTAAGGTAGGTAAATAGACGACGTTCGGTACGGTACCGTTCTTGGCGTATTAATATATTTTTGTATTTGTATAAGTAGCCTATTGTGTTTCTTTATTTTTGTAGCAGTTTTTTTGAAGATTCATTTTGGCTTAGGTTGTACAGTTGTACCAGTACCGGTATAGTTTATCAAAATACAGAAAATAATATTCTTATTCCTGTATTCATTACAGTGTCTAATAATCGATAATTTATCCATAAAGCAGTAAAGTAATGGCTAGGTCAGCGAATTTTGTCAATAGCGAAAAGCAGCTCCTTGTCCAGATAATTAGCGAACATCCCCAAGTGGAGTCAAAAAGAACGGACAAGGTGTCAGTTGTGCAAAAGAATTTGGCTTGGAAGCAAATCGAAGCCAAATTCAATGCAACTGGCACCTTGTGTCGCCGAACTGAAAAAAATCTGAAGGATGCGTGGAAAAACATCAAAAACAAAGCAAAGCAAGACAATGCCCAACGCAAACGCCATTTGAGGCAGACAGGAGGTGGGCCTGGTGTACCCACCGATGAACTCAGCGAGAAAGTTGAGGGTATGTTATTTGCTGTAGGTGTGTTCCAAATATGGCGTACGCAAAGTGATGCAACATATGAAGTGTGTTATTATGAATACATATTATGGAATTCACATACTGATTATTTAGGATATGTAAATAATCGTAGTAATTGTCTCTATTTGGTATTGAAATGTTAATTTTCACCTTTTTTTTTTTTAGCTCTCATTCCTAGACAAATAAATTGCCTTGCGATCAACTTCGATGATGACAATCAAATTGAAAGCTCGCTCGAAGAACAAACATGTATGTTATTAACAGCATTTACTGCTTGTAATTGGTGGCATTAAAGTGATGTGGCACCACAATATAGTGGTTTTTCATGCTTCTTCTAACCCAGAAATACCAGTTTTGCTTTCTTCTCCTGTATTCATGAAATGTATTTCGCGTACGTGTGCAAATTTAACGACTTATTACAGAGGATTCGGTATTTATAGCTTTCACATAAATTTAATAATACTGGTATTCATAATTTTATCAACCAGCCTTTTACAATATTAATGAGCGGTGACCGTACATTTGCACCCGTAAATCCACAAGTTCAATCTATATTGGGTGCTATAACCCATGGGTTAGGGTTAGTATGAGTTCAAATATCCGTAAAAGAAACTAATTTCCATAAGTGCAATAGTATGCAGCTGAATTGTCGTGGGTTCAAATTACGGGTGTAAATGTCTGTGGGTGCAAATGTAATGGAATCTTAATGAGCAGATATAAAATCATTTTGTAATAATACATGCAATACACATATATTCATCGCCTAAAACTAATTCTTCATTTGTTTCATACTATCTGCAGTTTAACTGATGACATGGTGTGATCAGAATTCCCATTTTTTTCAGACACACTTGTTTCAGTAGCTGAGGAATCTTCATCTTTCTCAGATGGTAAGTTCAATTAAAAAAGATTACTCAGACACTCCATATCAGACAAAGCTGGATTTGACAAAGTGTAATGAACTATGATGGCAAACCTTTTTTATGAATGGGTTAAAATTTTTATTATGAAACGAAGACTTGTGGGTCATTCAATCAATATCTGCATGAATGAGAAACTTGCTCTTGCTACTTATAACTTAAAGCTTTACTCATGGAGCACTCATATCATGTCTCATTGCAGAAGCGATTTTTGGTACTGAATTTTGACGGTTGACTAACAGTTTGAGGTCTAGTACATTGAAATGTATTTAATTCGATTTCTAGGTAACGAATCAGCAGTTTTGCAGACATTGAGTACAGGTAATCTAGTGATAATTGCTATCCAGATTCAAAACATATTCCCACAACAGGCTATCGCTGTTTGTTCAGATCTTGTCTATAGTTTATTCACATGTTTAGGAGGTTCACGGCTTTGCAATGTATGTTTCAAAATCACCCCATGATTAAGTAGCGCAGCAGTAGCAACTTTACAATGTACTCAGATAAACAGAACAGCGGTAGTATTTAAAATTTAAGCAGTATTTAATTTGAGCTTTTGTTATTGTGAATATTAGTACAGACCTAAAGGCAGGTAGGCATTAAAATTGAAAGCAGTTTTTTAGTTTTTATATCACGTAATGGCAGCAAATATTAGTTGTAGCAACATAACATTATATCTAGATAGACAGTGTAGCAGCACAATGGATGATTTGAGAAGAAGGGTGTTGACAGAGAAGTTGGAGGCAATGGCGGAGGAGAGGAAAATGAGAAGGGAAGAGCATGATATAAAAATGGAGTATTACCGTAAAAAAATAGCTAAGTTAGAATGAAGGATTTTATTGTTTTATTTGTTTTTGTTGCAAAATGGTTAATTAAAACAAGATTGATACAAGATTGTTAATTATTTTGGTGGATGTACTGAGATATATGTTTTCCCATACTTTGCGTCCTTCTAGTTTTTATGAATTTGGATCCCACAGTGTTTCGGCTTCTCGTCATAATCTAAAACTGTCATCAATATTAAGGTAGGACCGTTGCAGGACCCCAATAGATGTCGCGTTTCTTGCGACATAGGTATTACTGATTAGATACAACTGGCCTCCAAATATTGATGTGTTTAAGGTTTGCTTTTTGACATGCTATAGTGACATAATCTGATTTTGAAGTGCTTTGGCTGCGCAATTACATATGGGGCTAAATTGTGAAATCGACTTGAACTATACCTCGGAAATTACGAAAGAAATCATAAATGTAGAAAAAAAGCTGGTAACAGAACAAACTTGACAAAATATTTAATAAACATGAACTGAGAACGTGCAAACTGGTGGATAACTAAAAACAACACCATGTACACAATGAAAAATAGGGTATCTTAAAAATAAGTATAAACTTTCAATTTTGATTTGCTTTTCAGGTACTCCTCATAGAGCGTTGATTCCTTCACGAAACATAGTATGGATAAGTAGAAAAATACAGGTATTGTTTGCATTTTTATTAACCCACGGAATTACAACAAGGAGACTAACCCAAGAAATGAGGTTCAAAATTGCTGTTTTGCAAGAAGCATATAAATTAGTAATTCGTAGTCGGCGCCTCTTCAACAGATAATTTGGAATTATTGATCTCCTTCAACACAAATATTTTATGCGATTTGTTGTAAATTTATGAAAACTGGATTTGTAGTTGATGCACAAAGATCAGGAAGACCAAGGAGTGGACGCTCCGAGGAAAACATTCTGAGCCGAATTTATTTCTAAATTCTTCGCTGAAGAGGTGCTGAGTTTGCCTAACTGATTTATATGCCAAACAGCAGGTTTGCACCTCAATCCTTCGGTTAATCTACCGTATTTGTCATTCTGTGTGTTGATAAATATGCAAACAATACCTAAATTTACTACTTATCCATAACTATGTTTACTGATGAAATGAACGCTCTATGAGGAGTACCTAAAAAGAAAATCGAAATAAAAAATGTATACTTACTTTTGAAACACCTTTTATGTTACCTATTATAAGCTAAGCTAGCTACAGATCAAAAGTATTGGTCAATAATGTTTGCACGTGCAAGATGACCTGCTTGGGAAGACTGTATTTGTTGACTTGGTTCTGTGTCATCGCTTGTAGCTATGGCAAGATCGTGTTCTAATGGCTGATTTGTTTTCATGGCAAAATTATGCAAGCAAGCAACTGCCACTATAATGGTTAGGGTGTTGTCCAGCCTTGTCCTCATTTTACTCTGCAAGACTCTAAATCTTTGTTTCAGAATACCGAAACACTGCTCAATCCTAGCTCTGGTGTGGATGTGCGCCTTGTTGTAGCGATTTTCTTTGCCACTTGTAGGGTTTAGGAGAGGGGTAAACAAATATGGTTTACAAGGGTAGCCATTATCCCCCAACAAATATCCATCAACTTCATTTCTCTCTAATTTATCGTGGATGATGCTGTTGGCAAAAATCCTAGAGTCATGAGTGGATCCAGGCCATCTTGCCACAATATTAGTAATCACTCGGTTGGCATCGCAAATCGCCTGTACATTTATGGAAAAATACCCTTTTCTGTTACGAAACACCTCTGCATCTTCACCCCCTGGCGACTGAATTGACACGTGCGTGCAGTCAATCGCCCCAATGACAGATGGAAAGCCAGCCACATTGAAAAAATTTTGCTTAACTTTGGAAAGATCTTGACCCAAAAAATCAATAAATTTACGTTTCTGCTTGGCAAAACAAGTCGCAACTCTATGGATAGATCTCCGAGCAGTATGTCGACTCATTCCCATCAGGTCGCCATCTGTCATCTGAAAATGACCACAAGCGAAAAAACGCAGTGCGGTGAGAAGTTGAAGAATTGGTGGGAGGGAATGCTTGCGGACAACCATTCCAGTATCATTTTTTATAATATCGAGTAAAATAAGCACGCTGTCTTTCGAAAACCTGTACCGTTGTGTAAACTCATTCTCGTTAAGTAATTGGAATGGGTCTTGTACGTCTCTCAAATATGACCTTGAAATCACTTGTCTCTCCTCGCCTAATTCCTCACTGTCTATCATTTCCAAAATATCAATTACGTCCATTTTGTACAATTATAATTTTATTTTGCTCTTACGTCTACAACACAGAACATGAATAAAAATAAAAGAAACACCGACATGGACCACGAGAAAAAGGCTTGTGCCTGTTCACTCACACAAGTGAAAAAACATTACTAAACTGAATTAGTAAAAATAATGCAATAGAGAAAGTAACATTCATGGGCGATTTTATATCGTTTATATTTAAACGCAGGTTTGCATGTCTTACAGGTTTTAGGATCGCGCCTGCCTGAAGTACAGACCTTCTTTATACCTATTTTAGCGCGATCTGTTCTGTAGCTGAAAAAAACACTCCCTAATCGGCTCTCTTCAGCTGTAGCAAAGCGACTATATAACCTCTTTGGGTCGCAGACGACAGTTCACGAAGCCATCACCATGGAAATACAGGGTCAAAGAGCAACATGCCACGACGTTTCGGTGAAATGCCTCGTGGCGTCCGACTTAAACTAGGATTAGTTAAGTAACCGCTAAACTAGGTTTTTGATCTCCGGTTAACTTTCGAAGTTAAACCGAGTTTAACTAATCCGAGATTAGTCTTAATCTAGGTTTAAGTTAAGTGAGGTTTTTGATCTCCACCCTAAACTGGTCTTCTTCCCACCCAACACGACAGCAAATTTTCAACCAATAAATCAGGGAATCATGGAAAACCTCAAGCGCCCATACAAGAAGATTCTGCTTCGTCACCGACTCGAGGCCATGGACGAGGGAAAGGAGTTCGAGTTCACATTGCTCTGCATAACGTTTGTCGTGCTTGGAAGCAGGTCAGCGAGTCGACGATCGGAAACTGCTTCGTGAGAGCCAATTTTATCGATGAGGAAATCTAATCTGACCTTGATGATGTTGATTTGCTCGAGATCTAGGAAGCGCTGCCTGCCGAGGAAAAGATGCAAGAGAATGGGGAGATCGAGCTGTCTGACTTTCCTGAGCTGATGAGCGCCTCGAGACTGGTGAGTTTTCCACACTGGATGAGATTGCTGAGGAGATGTTGCGCAGCGATGAGCCGCTTGAAAGCGAAGTTGATGAGATAAATGTTGAGGTTTCGTTCGAGGAAGCCAAGCGGGCATGGAGCACTTCTTGAAGTTAATGTAGCAGAGAAGCGGGAAGCCCAGTGTGATGCAAGCATGCGATCGGCTAAAGCAGTGGTCGGCAGTCTTTTTCCAGTGACGGACCGGTAAAGCTTGACCAAACTTTTGGCGGACCACCTTTATACAAACGAACTAAGCCTATGCAATAAATAATACCGCATTAGGAAATTATTTAACATATATACTAAAACGACGGTGATGCTATTTAATTGTGATGTCTGTATTTGTTTGATGCCATTAACTGTTCCCATATTCGAGATAGGGTCGACATTGACACTATAGTAACGTGTTTCTTACTTCCAGCCTATTTCGTTTTTGTAGTTATCAATATGTTAACCCCAGGCCTCCACATTAAGATTTCGGGAAAAGTTAACAATGCCTGTATCGTTTTGTTGGGGGAGATCTTAGTCGGGACTGATGAGTGACATTCTTATAGGGGGCGTAGAGAAAACAATTTACCCCAGCATTTATTGCGACATCTACGGACATGACAATTGTTTATGAAATCAGACATGTTGCTCAATAAGTGTTTATGCTCAGTGGTCCGCGCAAACTCCATCGCTACTTGCGGGGCCGAATATAAACATTTTCTGGCTAAGCGCGGCGGGCACGCGAATATTTTCCGCCTCTCGAAACAATCCGGTACCATAAAATTAAACTTCAAATAAATGGCGCATTCCGGCATTGCTACCCTGCTATTTGCTCGTGTTGAAAAGCCATGTCCCAATGAGACTGTATATGTGGCGTTTTTTTTTTTTATATCCTCAACATAATACATTGTCTTTATGTACTTATTATCTAATAGTGAAAGCATGATGTTTTTATGGCCGGAACTCGTCCGTCCAAATGATGATCTGACAAAGCACGATGTACGAAACTTAAATCGAAGCTGTTAAATGCATTTTAGAGATTTAAAGATGTTCAAGGCCATAATGTTCTTTCCGAACGTGCAACATTACACGGGGTTCGCCACTGTCGCACAGCTATGAGACGTGTGGCGACTCACACGTCCACGTAGGTCTCGGGGCTCGAATTTTCGACGACTCGTTTCGTAACGAGTTTAACATTGAAACCCTTAACGACTGCGATGCTGACTGGGCATATCGAGCAAACCGGTTTTGGAATGCGCAAGAGAGAAAAATATTTTTCCGTTCAAGCACTTTGGAATGCTCGATCCGCGTCGCTTCGTTTTCCAGACATTTTCAAATTTTAAAAATCAAAATTAACTCGAACGACATACGCTACTTGTTACATAGGAAGCGCCGTACAGCAGCACTTGTCACCACATAAATCCGTGTAGAGACAATAATATATTTGGGATTAATTTTTGTTTTATTTATTAAATGTCGGGTCGTTCAAGGGCCGCAACAAATTAGCTCGCCCCCTGGGGTTGTGTTTGTCTGGTTTACTGTTGGGTGCTGTTTTTTAGTCGTAGGGTTTATGGTTAGATTGTAGAAGTTTTATTACGGACTTGTCCGTTTTTGTGTCACCTCCCTGCGGACCGGCAGTAACCTTTCCGCGGACCGGCGATGGGCCGCGGCCCGGTGGTTGCCGACCACTGGGCTAGAGTTAGACGACGAGGTGCATGAAATCCGCAGAAAGAACATGCGCCAGCTGACGGTTCCTTAGAGTTTTGACAGTTTCTTAGATAACTTGAGAAAACACATTACAAGCACATACATATACTTTTGCTGTTTCACAGCCTTTTAATCGTTTCGTTCGTAACGTTTGTTTCGTTAATACAGAAATACTGTATCTCATGTGGTATATTAGCGAGGGTGAAGGGTGGCATAGTAAATATATTTTATATTGAATTTAGCTGATGACGATCAAAATAGCGAGGGTGTAGTAGCGAGGGTGCCATAGTATCGAAGTTTGACTGTATACAAATTAAATTGATAGAACTGACATAAAAAAAGATCAGTATAATATCACCAGACAGTTTGGTAAAGTTCAACATACAACAGTGTTTTGTTGCATAATAATGTGAAATGAATATAAAAAAAAAAAATGAACCATTATTGGGAATCTAGTAATCTACGTTTATCACTGTTTTGGTAAATGTACGAATTGGCAATTTGTATTTGGTTCATACAAAAGTGTGACTGGGTATCATCATGCTTTGACTAAATATTTTATCAAACAGTCGATAAACGAAATAAAGTGGTAAATACTTACTCCAGGATCAGTTCTTCAAAGCCTTCTGAAGGGTGGTCAGTACCGGTAGTCGGTACGATCATTAAATAAAATGCTGTGGCTTGATCCCCTCACATTCTGAACTTCCTATGCATTAGCATTTATGTTTAACAATACATTATTGTTTCAATCTTTATTAAACTACGCGATGAGAAACTAGATTTAAACGTTGAAGAGGTTTAAACGCCAAAAACAGAAGTTGAACACCTTACTCGCCAATGGCGGGGAGCTAATTTTGGGAATGAGTTCTCACTACTACGTCATCAAAGGCCGTTTCCAAATTTTCTACAAAAATGTTCACGTGATAACCCACCTTTAAGAATGATTAGCCTATATTTTGCATATTATCCCGGCACAAAATGTCATAAAAAAGGGTCGATTAGACTCACGTTACAATACACACTTTCAGTGGCACAGCCAAGATTTTCAAAGCGGTCTGGAGATCAGAATTCGGAAATTTACATGAATGGGTCCTGAAGCATTCGCCGAATTACGCCCCTCAAATTTTTAACATACTGAAGACCGAAAACTTGATACCGCGTGTAGAGTTATTTGAGATTGATTTAATGCAGTGCTTGAATCTGGGATGTCCAATTCGAATGTAATATTCGAATATCGTTTTTTTTTCGAGTTTATAAGAGCACATATCCTAGCGCCGCGGTCCACGTTCCGATTAAAAACATTTTACAATTACTTCATTTTTATCGTAATCGAACGCA